ATTCTCTGGATAGATACCACTTACCAAAATTAAACCTAGATCAGATAAGCAATTTAAATAGACCTATAACACCTAAGGAAATAGAAGCAGTCATCAAAAGTCTCCCAACCAAAAAAAGCCCAGGGCCAGATGGCCTCAGTGCAGAATTCTACCAGAAATTCAAAGAACGGTTTATACCAATTCTCAAAGTATTCCACACAGTAGAAGCAGAAGGGTCTTTGCCAAACTTTTTATGAGGCTTCAAAAAGATACCCAAGCCCAAGCCACACAAAGACACAACTAAGAAAGGAAATTTCAGACCAATATCCCTCATGAACATTAATGCAAAAATACTCAATAAAATACTGGCAAATCGGATCCAAGAACACATCAGTAAAACCATTCAGCATGATCAAGTAGGTTTCATCCCAGGGATGCAGGGATGCTTCAACATATGAAAATCCACCAATGTAATCCACCATATAAACAAGCTGAGAAACAAAAATCACATGATCATCTCACTAGACGCAGATAAGTCCTTTGACAAAATCCAACACTCCTTCATGATAAAGATCTTGTAGAGATGTGGGATAACAGGAACATACCTGAACGTAATAAAAGCTATATACAGCAAACCAACAGCCAACATCAAACTAAATGGACAGAAACTCAAGGCAATTCCCCTAAAATCAGGAACAAGACAAGGCTGTCCCCTCTCCCCATACCTCTTCAAAATTGTACTTGAAGTTCTAGCTAGAACAATAAGACAAAAAAAGGAAATCAAGAGGATACAAATTGGAAAGGAAGAGGTCAAACTTTCACTATTTGCAGATGATATGATAGTTTCCATAAGTGATCCAAAAAACTTTACCAGGGAATTCCTACAGCTGATAAATACCTTCAGCAAAGTGGCAGGATACAAGATCAATGCAAAAAAATCAGTAGTCCTACTATATACAGATGATAAAAGGGCTGAGCAAGAAATCAGGGAAACATCACCCTTTACAATTGCCACAAACAACATAAAATACCTTGGGGTAATGCTAACCAAACAAGTGAAAGACCTGTATTGCAAGAACTGTGAGTCTTTAAAGAAAGAATTAAAGAAGACACCAGATAAAGGAAGGATCTCCCATGCTCTTGGGTAGGTAGGATCAATGTAGTAAAAATGGGAATCTTGCCAAAAGCAATCTACAGATTCAATGCATTCCATCAAAATTCCAGCACAATTCTTCACAGATCTTGAAAGAACAATTCTCAACTTCATATAGAAAAACAAAAGACCCAGGATAGCCAAGACAACCCTGCTCAACAAAGCAACGTCCAGAGTCATCACCATCCCTGACTTCAAGCTCTATTATAGAGCTAACAGTCCTGAAAACAGCATGGTATTGGCACAAAAATAGACAGGTAGACCAATGGAATAAAATTGAAAACACTGATATGGACACCCACACACCTATGAACACCTGTTTTTTGACAAAGAATCTAAAATTATACAATGGAAAAAAGAAAGCATCTTCAACAAATGGTGCTGGCATAACTGGATGCTGTCATGTAGCAGACTGCAGATAGATCCATGTCTATAGCCATGAACAAAACTTAAGTCCAAATGGATCAAAGACCCAACATAAATCCAGCCACACTGAACCTCTTAGAAGAAAAAGTGGGAGGTACCCTTGAATTGGTACAGGAGACAGCTTCCTGAACATAACACCAGTAGCACAGTCACTGAGATCGACAATTAATAAATGGGACCTCTTGAAACTGAGAAACTTCTATAAGGCAAGGGACACAGTCAACAAGACAAAAAGGCAGCCCACAGAATGGGAAAAGATATTCACTAACCCCACATCTGACAGAGGGCTGATCTCCAAAATTTACAAAGAACTCAAGAAGCAAGTCTCCAAAACACCAAAGGATCCAATTAAAAAGTGGGGTGCAGAATTAAATAGAGAACTCTCAATAGAGAAGTCTAAAATGGCTGAGAGACACTTAAGAAAGTGCTCAACATCCCTAGCCATCCAGGAAATGCAAATCAAAACAACTCTGAGATATCATCTTACTCCTGTCAGAATGGCTAAAATCAAAAATACCAATGACAGCTTATGCTGGAGAGGATGTGGAGAAAGGGGAACACTCCTCCACTGCTGGTGGGAGTGCCAACTTGTACAGCCACTTTGGAAATCAGTATGGAGATTCCTCAGCAAAATGGGACTCAGTCTACCACAAGACCCAGCAATTCCACTCTTAGGCATATACCCAAAATATGTACTTTCATACAACAAGGACATCTGTTCCACTATGTTCATAGCAGCATTATTTGTAATAGCCAGATCCTGGAAGAAACCTACATGCCCCACAATTGAAGAGTGTATAGAGAAAATGTGGTGCATTTACACAATGGAGTACTACTCAGCTGAAAAAAAAATCAATGGAATCCTTAAATTTGCAGGCAAATGGATGGCACTAGAAGAACCCATCCTGAGTAAGGTAACCCAGTCACAAAAAAGAAACATGGTATGTATTCACTCATATATGGATTTTAGGCATGGATCAGGGGAGTGTCAGCCTACAATCCTACTGCCAAACCATCATCCAACAACTGATGGAAGCAGAGGCTGATACCCACAACTAAGCACTGAAATGAACTCCTGGAACCCAGTGACAGAAAGGGAGGAATGATGAGCAAAGGGGTCAAGACTGTGCTGGTGACACAGAGACAGCTGACCTGACAAGGGTGAGCTCTTGGATCCCAGACTGACTGAGAGGCTATCATGGGACTGATCCAGACCCCCTGAATGTGGTATCAGTAAGGAGGCCTCGGCAATCTCTGGGGCCTTGAGTAGTAGATCAATATTTACCATGGTGTACAAATGAACTTTGGGAGAGCATTCCACATGGAGGGATGCTCTCTCAGCCTTGACACATGGGGGAGGGCCCCCGCCCTGCCCTGGATGAAATGACAGACTCTGGAGATCCTCCCTGGGGAACGGTGTGGGGATTGGGTAGGGAACTGGGACTGACATGTGAAGCAAGCTTGTTTCTAATTTAAATTAAAAAATTATATAAAAAAAAAACTCTTAAAAAAAAGATGCATGAGGCTGAGCTGCCTGCCCTTTTTCTCCAAGCAGGCTTGAAAATCAGCTGCCTTAAAAGACAGTAGCCATGAGAAATCACTGCCTACCGATCCCTGGAGGTGGAACACAGGTTTGAAGACCTTGGGACAGCCACACACAGAGAAATGTCATAGTTAACCTGTTTTGACATCCCAGGAAAAGCTTCTTTCTCACCATTTTTATTTATTTGAGCTGATTTTGCACATAAGCAGCTCTGCCTCATGGGCATTTGTCAAAAGTAAATCAGCACCAGTCACCCAATGTGATGGCTATTGGTGGGGTAACAAGTTGGGGTAAATAGCAGTTGACTAAAAATATTAAAAGGAAAACCAAGACAATGGAATGTGCATAGAGGATTTGTGAGAAGTGTCAGCACATGTCTAGGAATCTGGAAGGTTGTATGCCTGTGATGGACGTGTATAGGTCAGCAAGGCCTGAGATCACCCCGGGGCTCTCACTTAAAGCAGTATGCAAAGAGGAAAGCAAGGCTAACTTTCATGTAACCTGCCTGCTGGGACATGGTCATAGACCTCAACACATAGAAAGACCAGAAGCCCCAATAATTCAAGGCACTTCAGAAACTCTCTGGCCATCACTGGCTGACCATTGGACTAAGGGAGCAGAAACTTCAGGGCACACACATGGCACTTTTTTTTTTCTTTTCCACTTTTCGAGACAGGGTTTCTCTGTGTGGCTTTGGAGCCTGACTTGGAACTCGCTCTGTAGACCAGGCTGGCCTGGAACTCACAGAGATCTGCCTGCCTCTACTTCCCGAGTGCTGGGATCAAAGGCGTGCACCACCAGTCACATGTTGCACCTTTATACAATCAGAATCATCCCTGGATGACAGCATTGCCACTGCCAAAACAGGAAATGTTCAGGAAGCTTGACAGATCCACAGCTATACACATCAGGTCAAACTTGAAAGGCAAAAGCAAAGATAGAATATGGAAAACAGCCAAAGGACAGTGACATCAAGTATAGAGACTCAAAGACCGGCTTCTCAGCAGAAACCATGGAGAACAAGGCCATGGAAAAGTGTGGGACACCTCCTCGTTAGGAGGTCCCAGAGGCACCCAAAACTGCACAGGCTACAGGCCAGCGCTCCTGGTTGTCCATCAGAACTAGATGATAAGACCCTGTTTCTGAAGATACCATGCTGTTTGGTTCCGGCACACAGAGAAATCAAGCTGTAACTGGGCCAGGGCTTCCTCGCTAGGTTTCGAGTGCTAGAAGGTACTGTGTAGGACGCTGGGGGAGAGGAGCCATCAATAATCTATCCAGCTGTGGAACCTATGAGCTACACTGTCAGCCTGTCAGGCAAGATGTGCCACTGTCATGAAAGTATGGCTTATGAAGATAACTAACGGTCTCTCCTGGTCAGACTGAAGCCTGTTCCACAGGAGGAACTCAAGGCTGACACTGTAAACCCAACCCAAAGCCCATGTTTGGGAGATTTTCTTCCTGAAACATTGAAAGCTGAACTTTACAGAGCTGCACTTTCCAGATGTCCATGAAGCCATAAAATCAGCAGTCAAGCACCCAACAATCTCCCTAGGTCTCCCTTCCTTCTGCTTCCCAGCATCCTCCAGTCGCTCTGACTGGGCTCTAGGGGAAACGGGGAGATGACTCATCAATCGATGCTCATGACTTATATCAGGTGTCCGTGGAGTGGCAAGTTTCTAGGATGTCCAACGATCTCTGTCGGCTAGAGATGCAGAGTGGGGAACCACCCAGAACCTTGCTGGTGGGAGGCACACAGGCCAAGTTTTCAGCTCTCCATGGCCCTGTGGCTAGAAATTGCCTCAAACAGTGAGAAACAAACTAATGTCACTCACCAAAAACGGGCAGCTGCTTCTATATCTTTTTCCATATGACCCAACTAACTTGCTCCTATTGCAGGCAACCGAGGCCTTCAGTCCTGGACAAGCAAGGAGGACACAGTCGTGCTTTTCTTGCCTGGAATATGAGTGATTACGAAGACACCCAACAGAGAAACTCCCAAAGAGCTATTCTCGTTAAACAGAGTAAATCACCAAGGACCACTTTGCCCTCCAGGCTGCCAAGGAAGGAAGAGAAGGTAAGCCGCCATTTTTCTGAACTATCCCTAGAGAAGTCACACCACAGACTAGAGTGTCATTGGATTCTAACAATTTCATAGTTCCCTTTCACCTATCAAACCAGATTGTAATCCAGATTAGATTCCCTGGGTCAGTGTCCACTGAGTTGCAGAGCTGGGTTGAGTCTCAGAGTGTAAGAAAACAGGAGGGTGTGTGGTCCCATCCCTAGAAATGTTTATCCACCACATGGCTTGACCTAGAGAGTGTGGTCAGGCTGCTAATTTCCACAAGCTGAGAAAACAGCCTGCACGATGGAGGCAGACCTGTAACTTCCCTGGGAACCCTGCTCAGAACATTAAGTATCTTTAGCAAGTTGTGTAATTTCCCTATGTACTTTTAAGAATAAATAAGAGGGGACAACAGGTACTTTCCTGAAAAATCTGGAGAAGGAACAGAGAATCAAGTACAGGGTGTGTAAGCATACATCCCACGGTCATTTTCAGAGTCTGTGTACAAACCCATCTCCCGTCTTGGCTCTCTGCACAACCCCACAGCACGGTGCACTTTGTCAGTGTTTAATACAGCTTGACACAAAGTTCCTACAATAGAAAGGAAAGCAGAATAGCTCCCGTCCAGTTAGATGCCTGTTTGGAGCACAGAGTGTCATCTTGCTTCCTTGAAGACTCTTTGGAACTCACTAGCACAGAATTCACTCTGTGTCCAGAGATCCCGCTCATTAGCCATCACTGCTGGAATGTTTCTGTGAGGGGCTGGATTTGTCCTCTGGGAAGACACCGGCCCCAGCCACACTGGGTTGAAAATGGGAGCAGTTCAGGTGCTACTTTCCCACTGTGGGCTGACTTCCGGGAAGACAATGGTTGAGGTAATGACTGGCATCTGTGCAAAGGAGCGCTGGGTTAGTTACGGCATTGAATGCATTGAGTATGATCACTCATTAGTTCCAAATGCCTCCTATCACCCACTAGATCTAAATGACGCTTTTATGTTTTGCATTAAAACTTTTGCTTAAAAATTGTTTTTTACATTTTTAAATGACTTAAAATTTACAGAGGAAGTTCTGCAAGAACAGCACGAAGACCTCCTTATATTCTCTTGCTTGCTTTGATGTATTTTCTCCCTCTGAATGTACGTGTACGTGTACATATCCTGGCCCATCTGCCATTGGAAGGCAATTGCAGACACAATGCCCTTTTACTTCTAGACACTTCAGGGTACATTTCCTAAGAACAAAGATGTTCTCTCATATCACCATGGTTACAGTTTGAAGATTTAGGTCTGTAATTGGTAAGCAAATTTTACCCAGCCAAGACTTAACGCTAGGGTCACACATCACAATTAGTTATCTGCTAAGTTTCTCTCCATCTGTGTCTCAGTCTTCATCTTCCACGGCACCCGCATCTTTGAAGGCTGTAGGCAAAGTCAGGATGTTTTCTCTAGGTGGGTTTGTCTGCTGTTTCTGTGCAGGCTCTCTCAGATTGTGTGGTGTGTATAGGAAACCCTGACAAACGGTGTGCCACCAGATACGGAGTTAACTCACCCCCAGTGAGTACAGTCACATCCCTTCTTAAAAAAATAGAAAATGCCGTATCATCCAACATAAACGTTTCTTCAGGCAAGCTTTCTCTCAAAATCCCAGAATACACTAGAAACTCATTATCCTCATCTGTGTTTTTGGAGGATCTCAGAGTTGTGGATGGTTGAGAAAACCCCCACCCTCTTCTGTGTAACCTCTCTTCATGGACAACTCCAAGTAACTGTTCTTACATATTCAAAAGCCGGTAATGAATACAACATGTGAAAGGCATCCGCATGGCTCCTCCCACTTGGGCAGTAGTGAATGCTGGCAGTCAGTCATCAGTGCTCCTTGTCCTCCCACTTGGGCAGTAGTGAATGCTGGCAGTCATGAGTGCTCCAGGTCCTCCCACTTGGGCAGTAGTGAATGCTGGCAGTCATGAGTGCTCCAGGTCCTCCCACTTGGGCAATAGTGAATGCTGGCAGTCATCACTGCTCTAGAGAGGCTGAGAGTCTCCCAGGCTGGCCTTGAACTCCCAGTTCCCCTACCTTCACCTCCAGAGTGATGGGATTACAGCCCGTGCCTCCATGCTGGTGTATCTTCCCATTCTTACGCTGTAAGAATCTAATTGCACCAAGAGCTACCATGAAGTAAAATGTGCCCTTGTCACAGTATTATACACACCTCATCTGGAGAGAGTTGGAAATGGGATGTTCATATGTGCTATTGGATGAATTTCTCTACTTATAAACTTGAGAGCCTAATTATATGATTTTTAAGAAGTGAAATTTAGGGCATTCAATAATATGAAGCATTCTGGTATACATTTACCTAGAATGCAGTAACAAATATTTCTGGAATTCAGTTGGGCAAATTCCCATGTTGAATTCCTTTCTTTTTAAACATTACATCTCTCAGGTTCTATCTTCTCCCATTTGTTATTCTCCCATCTTGATTTTTTTTCTTCTCAATAAGCAGTTGTGATCTTTAGGTTGTAAAACTCATGGGCATAGACCTCCTTTAGCTCCATTCATTTCTACTTCATTCTTAGCTGGCCGGGATCGAGGCCCTCTAAATTCCAATATACCAATGTAACTTCAGTGGCTAATGTATTCTTTTCCCAAGAATTTGTTTCTTTTACTTGATGCATTCTTTCTGGCACTCCCTCCTGCCTTTGGGCTCAAGAATGGATTCTCAGATGCTAATGTGCACACACACCCCTCGGTGACTGAATTCAGATGCAGATTATGGGTCAGTGGGCCTCCAGGGCTCGTCTTCTGCATTTCTGCCCGGTTCCCAGGCAACGCTGGCTGTTGACGGTCTGGGGGCCTTGAGTACCCGAGGATTTGACCATGAATTGAGTTTGGAGACAGAATAGAAGGGAACTGGCTGGACCAGGGGGAGGAGGAGACTGGGAGGGCAAAGCCTGTCTTCGGGAGAACGTAAGTACTTCAGAATGGCTGCGTATCTGAGTGAAAAGGAGCCAGGCACTGTAGCATGTGCTGGGGTCTCAACTACTCAGGAGGTTGAGCAGGGAGACTCAAACTCAAGACACTGGGGTCAGCTTTGGCGACACAGTGAGATCCTATTTCCTACATTAAGAAAGTGAACCAGTGGTGGTGGTTTGGAAATCTCAGTTACTCAGGAGTCTGAGGCAGGAGCCTGCCTGGATTATACTGAGTTCAAGGCCAGCCTGGCGAACTTAGTAAAACCCTGTTTCAAAATAAAAACCCAGGCTGGGGAGACAGCTCAGTGAAAGGGTGTGTTTACATGTACAAAGACTACCTGGTGGTGATGCTGGGTGAACCTCATTTGACTCCACAATGCTAAAGCCCTTGGGGTTTACTTGGCTGCTTTTTAAAGAGGGGAAGGTTTGGAAATCAGCACAGGAGAGGACTGATTAGAACTCCTCGGTATGGAATGGAGGAGAGTTTGGACAGCATTAGGGTATCAACTAAAACTAGGGAAGGACTGAAGGCAGAAAGGAGGAAAAGTGACCTGAGACAGGGTAGCTCACTCCAGGTGTGAGGAATACTCGGGCTGTGACAGGAGTGACGGAGTGTAGTCTGCACCCTCAGAGCTCAGTGTGAGAGGTTTGGAGGTGCCAGGTAGCAGAGTAGAGGTGATTTCCATAACATGGGGTTAAATGTGCTATTTGTTATGGTAAAGATATTTGAAAGTCTAATTCCAAGCCAGGCCTGGTGGTTCATGCTTGTAATCCAAGCACTTGGGAGGTCAGAGACAGGAAGATAGTCACAAGTTCAAAGCTAGCCTGGTCTACATTGTTAATTAGAGGCCAGCAGGGACCACACAGTGAGATCAGGGAGAGAAAGGGAGGAGGAGAGAGAAATAAGAGGCTATGTCCTATAAATTGGCATTACAGTACCCAGCTCCTACCCAAGTCCATTTTAATGATCACCGTTGCACGGATCTCTTCAATACCTGTATAGCTAAGGGACCGATGTGCACAGTTGGAGAGGAAACAAGAGTGTTCATCACAAGGAACTGGCTTGTGTGAAGGTAGGAGCCAGAGAGTTCATAGTGTGTGGGCTGGCTGGCTGGCAGGCTGGGGCAAGCACAAGACTGATGCTGCAGCTGGACCTGGAGGCCATCTGGATGCGGAGTCTCCTCTTCCCAGAGGTTGGGGGAGGGTCTGTTCTTTCCAAGTCTATCCTTCAACTGAATGAGACCCACCCACTTATAGCCGGTAACCTGCTTTACTCTATCCACTGATTTAAATATTAATCTCGCCTAAAAAAATACCCTCACAGCAGGACCTATTGGTCCTAACCTCTGAACCATCTCTCCAGCCACCAGCAGGACCTATTGGTATTTGACCAAGTATCTGAGTAGAATGGTCCAGCCAACTTGACTCAAGATCTTCACCACCACGGTGCCCCTTCTCACCAGTTGTGAGGGCTAAATATTGCAAAAAAAACCACATAAATCATCCAACGGAAGAGTCCAGGCAGCAGGGAACCAAAGGGGAATACGGACTGTGCCCTCTTTTGAATGGCATGCATTCGATGGCTTCAGGATTGCGTATGAACACAAGCTGGGGACTTCTCTTTTCCAGCTTGACCGGTAGACTGTGAGAAGCCTGGGGGGGGGGGGCACTAAGAAGACACCGAGGGCTGGGGCCCCACGCACAGCTTCCAAGGGGAAGGCCAACGTTACAGAATACGGGAAGGGGAAGCCCCGATGAGCCCAAGCCCTGCCCTGGAGGAAGGAACCAGAAGATGCCCCAGATGTGCAAGGCGGTGTTCAACTTCCGAATCCTGAGTGAAAGAAAAAGAAGACTCTTTCTCCTGTCACTAAGCCGGCAGCCGATGACAAGCAGGCCGGCACCCACATGGAAAAGCCTGGGTACCCTCCTACTCAAGATGTGCCATGGAGCGGTCAAGCTGTGGCAAACCCCTCCCATCGGCATGTGAGAAAGTTGCTTGCTGGTCTTGTGTAGGTCCGCTCTCTTCCCACCACCACCACGTGGATCGAACTCAGATCCTAAGACTTGGCAGCAAGCACCCTCACCCACTGAGTCATCCTGGCCCCCGGGTATGCTATTTAAACCACATGCACGTTTTGGAGCAGGAGTTACAACTGCAGACAGGCAGGTAGGCAGGGTATTGATGTCCCGCTCTTAAGCAAGCCACAGCTGTGGATGAGGAAATTTCAGAGATACCCTCAGTTCTAGGTGAAGACCAAGTGACCACTTGTTAAAATCTTTATAAAGTAAATCCACAATGCCAGGGTAGACAACAGTTACACTCTTGGAAATTTCACCATGTGCTGATGTCAGGTGGAAACCACAAATTCCCAGCTTAGATCATTAAAAGCAGGTTTATCACTCCAGTGAATGTCAGGTAGGACAATGGACTGGTCCTGGGGCATTCCCACAGACTCCAGGACTTGTCTCCTGACATGCCTGGCCCAAATCCTGACAGTGTGCTGGGGCCAGTGTTCTCATCCACCAGGGCGATAACCAAAATGTCTCCGAACACCAAACTACTGACATATAGTGACCTCCATTCACCACAAATCATTTAAAGGCTGTGTTTGACTAAATGCAACAGATCATGCGGCACCAAGAAGATGTGCAAGAAAAATTCAAAAAGTTTATTGCACCAAATGTCACAGAAAAATGGATTAAAATAATACATGAATGTTGCTTTAAGAAAAACCTTTCACACACCGACACAGGAATTTATTCAACTGATTTAAAAAAACAGTCCTATCAATTTCTCTTAATGAAAGCTCAGTAATAATACATTCCAGAATTTTCTCCTTTTTAAAACACTGTAATTTAAACATAATGCAAACACATGTTCCAGATGTTCACCAAATTTTAACATCTTAAAAATTAACATTCAGAGGGCTGCTTTAGGCAAAAATTGTATTAAAATGTCCTCTCGGCATCATTTCCTGGTGACCAGGAATCAAGTAGCCAACCTGCGGAGCAACATGCCCATGTTTTACCTGACTACTGTAATTGTATCTTACCCATGAGTCTCCATCTGTGAGAAAGACACACTGTAGCGGTTGGAAACACAAAGAGTGTGAAAGACCACTACAGAAATGGACGGAAGAGCCTGCATTTCAACAAGGAAAGATCCTGACAGCACCATTCTCTGCTCCTCCTGCCGCGGCCATGATCCCACCTCCCCCCAGTCTCCCGGGTCCTCTCCCTGGTATGACGCCCGCACCCCACATGGGAGACCCGGGCCATGATGCCAATGATGGGGCCCCTCTTCCTGGGATGACGCCCGTGGGATCTGCTCCTGGTGGGTGGTCACATGCCTCCAATGATGGTGCCCACTCGGCCTGGCATGATTCGGTCAGGCAGATAAGAGCAGAAAGGCTCTATATCAATTTTGTATCTGTTTTGTTTCACCAGGAGATCACGGTGCTGAGCCTGAGTGTTTTCTAGCTGCATGACAAACAATAGTTTTGCAGGGGAGAAGTGGGATTTTAAAAAAAGTGCAGCTCTCACTTATATTGAGAAAAAGTAAATAAAATTGTCAGCTCTTTTAGTTAAAAAAAACAGTCCTCTCCACCAAGCACAATATATATATAAAAAAAAATCCAGAAAACCAATTCACATTAGAAGAAGCTATGGACCTTTTCAATTAATGATGAAAGTATGCGTGAACACAAAAATAAGTGGAAAAAACTCCAGACATTTAAAACAATTTGAGGGTCATTTTACATTCTTTATGTACATCCAACTAACAAAGAACCTAAAAAGCTACTGACTAGTTTACAAAATCCGAAGACCTGATTTTAAAAGCTCAGTCAACAATTTAGTGTCGTTTAGCAAGTGGGGAATTCCCTCCCTCCAAAAGTTAACTCTGAAAAACACGCTAAGTTAAAAATTTGTGATGTGGCAGGCCAAGGATGCCGCCAGCCCAGAGCAGGGTCCCTGAGAGCAGCTCCTTCCCTCACAGGCCTGGTCTCCTGGGTCCCTTCTCACTCGGTGCTACCCACAGACAGGAAGCCTCCAACACCCACATCTGTGCCTACCACATGCCTGATCAGTGGCTGCGTGCCTCTACATGTTCTTACCTGGAGACAACAACTAGTTCACATGCCAAGAAGTCACAGAGCATCTCTCTTGGGGACAGTGAGGGCCCTGTGACAGCTGAGCTGTCTGGGTCACTTCACAACCCTTATCCATGGGAGAACTGGCTTCCCAGGGCCAGGAAGCCCAGGCCATCCCCACCACAGTGACACTCACTTCCAGCATCGAAGGTCAAGATCCTGCCATGCCTTCCTGGGGCAACCATAAGGCCCGAGCCAGCCTCAAACTGCCCTTGCCCAGGGTCTGTGGCCAGCTCCTCTCTCCACCCCCTCTGGAGTCACCCGCCACGTGTGTAGTCTGGGGATGTCCAGCCTGGTGTGACAGTCACAGAAGCCAGCTTCCCAGCACCCGGTCCTGTAGATGCCAGCACCCCGAGACTCCACAGCTCTGTGTTTCTCCCAAGGACCTCAGCCTCCGGGCCCCTCACCCACCCTGGCCATTCTAACAGCCTCCAACTTCTAGAGACCAGGTCTAGGGTGCCTGGCAGCACCGCGAGAGCCCACCCCTGATATGTGTGATCCCGGGCAGCCTGGGACACCGTGGGAGCCTGGTTCCAGCTGAGGCCCTGCCTCCCGCACTCCTTGAGCGGGCAGTGTAAGATCAGTCTAGCACAGGCTGCAGACTGCCTTCCGAGAAGCCCTTGACCTTTACCGAATTTTGGTCTCCAGCAAGCAGCTGGGTGCTGAGCAGCAGCAGGCAGACTGAGCTGGCCTCCGCCTTCCACTGGATCCCAGCCAGCTGAAAGCCAGCAACTAGATGACGGCCGGCCGCTAACTCGGCTCCACCCCAGACACTGCCTTCCCCGCTGCACTGTGTCTCCTGGCCAGCCCAAACCTGCAGGCCCTGCTGGAATGCTCCCCAGAGCTGCCAGCAGCGCAGGCTGTGAGGAGGAAAACAAGGGGTGACTGGGGGCCCGCAGCCCCTCCACCAAAGCCCTGCTGCTCTGCAGAAACAGATTTTAAAGCAAATAAACTGACTAAAGTTGTTTCCTGGAACCTGAAGAAGAAAAGAAAAAGCTGTGAGGTGTAAACGGCAGCCCCGTGAGATGTGAGATGAGTTCCTCTCCGTAGAAAACAGCACACGCCTCTGGAAAAAGGACCGAAGCTGTCCACCAGCTACTTAACACTGATAAAGTCAACCCTTTGGAATTATGCACAAGCATGGAAGCTACACTTTCAATTTTCATTGTCATTTTTAAAACATACGTCATTACCTACACATTCATATCACTTATCAACTTATCAAATATAAAAATGCAACATGCTAGAAAGAGGTCATCACAGGAATGCTTACACACTTCCGCTCGCCTGCTCCGTCCAATGGGCAGGGCGCTGTCAGAGTGACACTCAGCAGGTAGGTTACTCTTACCAGCTGAAGAAACCAGAAGGTTGGGTGGAACCCTGTCAACTGAGGTAGATTTCTTTAAACTTTTTTTTTTAAAGTTTGGTTTTGGTTTTTTCTTCCCCCTTGAGTTGGGCCTAGGAGAAGGTGGGGTCCCTTTCTGGACTCTTCGGCTGTGACCAAACAAAGCCGTGGTGGTGCAGGATGTGGGTGTGTCTCAGGGGAAGCCCATGAGATGCTTTGCTGTTTTTCCGCTTCTGAGAAGTGGCTGAATTTAAGACACAGAAAATGTGGACACCCCACACCTCGGGAGTCAGGAGAGCAGCGGCATGCCCTCCTCTGCAGCGGCAAGAGAGGAGGCTGAGGGCACTGAACTAACCCCACGTGACCGACGACCAGAGTTTCTCACTGGCTGCTTTTCTCAAATTTGGAACATCGGAGAAAGAGGCAGGTTTACTCTTTTTCAGGGTTTGAAGAACTGGGCGAAGTTTTTATGCATGAGGCCGAGAACCAAGCTGCTGACGGCTCAATTCCCGAGTCTGGCTGTCAACATGTGACGAGAAGTGAACGGGGTTTGTATCGAGTCATTTTCTCCAAAACCTCCGAGGATGGTGAGTGAGGCAGAGCCCACGTATAAGTGAGAGAAGCCAGGAGGAAGGATGGGAGCGTGCCGCGCTGGCAAGGGCGGAAGGCTGTGCTGACTTCTGCCTTGACAGCTCACGCATGCACGCCAAGGAAGACTGTGCCCGGAGATTCCTGGCTAATGATGACATCATGAAGCCAGCAAACCGAGGCCAGCAACTCAAACGTCAGCTAATGGGAAATGGAAACATGTTAGAATAATGGGACATCTCAACTTTGCGAAATACGAAAATGCAAACTAAAGACATTAAGTGCCTCGAGGTGTCATCCATTTTCACAAATCACAAAGAGTGAGAGGGAGGGGCAGAGCAAGAGGGGAAGAGAGAGGGGGAAAGGAGAGAGAGGAAGGAGGGGGAAGGAGGGGGGAGGGGGGCAGGGGACCAGAGAGGAATGAAAGGCCGACTAAGACGATGCAGGCATTTGTCCTCAGTCAATGGAGCACATGCTCTCAACTAACAGCTGCTTGTAACGAGGGGCGACAAACGCATCACACAGGTCGGGATTTTATCAGATATAAACTGTGAAGTTGCTTGAGCCCCCGGGTGATATCCCAACATTCTCAGGTACCGGAGACACGTGAGAAGGAAGGACTGAGGAGTCAGTGTGGTTTGACTTGACCTGACATCAGATTTTTTTCGGTTTTAAAGTCTTCTGACAGAGACTTTTACGCTCAGTAGTCAAAGGTTCTTTAGGCTTAATGACCAATTGGGCTTTTATAGTTCTTCACCTTGGTAAGTTTTATAAATGGTCAGGTCAATTTCTGGAAAGATGTTTTTAAAAGACTACTAAAGGGATTAAAAAGTGCAGAGTTGACTGTGTAAAAGCTGAGATTGCAAATGAATTGTCGGAGGTGCTTCAGGGTTCACTTCCCAGGGGGCATCTGCACCTTCCAGCAGAGAGAGGCACCTTCATGGGCAGCAGGAGAGAGAGGCCCGGGCTGGGAGAGCTGAGCCAGAGAAGCTCGCCCGAGCTCGTGGAAACAACTTTGGTAAAGGTCTTTCTGGAGAAGGCTGTAGACTCGAAAGCTGCAGACGATTACCCAGTGTTAGACTGCACACGCCGATGCCGTCCGCTGGACCTGACGAGAGGGGAGCTACACTGAATCCTGGGTTTATTGCACCAGCAGTCCCTCCCGGACCTGCCCGTGACTGCACTGGAACCACAGAACTCTGAGAAGTGACAACACACTCTCTTCCCGATAGGCAATCCTCTTCCACATCCTACATGGAAACCGTACGCAGAACAGACAGTGGCACAGTGTGGCTTTCTTCACATCACCGGCAGTGAGGAGAGCTCCGACCTGGGATCCACAGCTCGTTCTCAGAGCAGCACCTCATGCTCTCTCACACGTAAACAGGAAACACTTTCCAACTGGAATGTTCTATTCACTGGTTACCGCTACTCCAAAGCCGGTTCTCAATATTCTGCCCAACAGCAGGAGGCCATCTGCTTTGTCTGCCAGAAAGGTCACTTCTTTTGATTCCTGGGAAACAAAGGCTCGGTGTACTCGTGGCCAATCACAAACTGCCACCGCATGGAGTAGACACAAGCTCGTGGATGAGGCGGCCATTTGCAGCAGCAGCTCCATGACTGCACCACGCTCTCACGCCTTCGCTGTCACTGAGAGCTTACCGCTTTCTGACTCAAAACTGTCCCGGTGGCTCCTGCAGTCGTTATAAGAGGATCTGCGCCACATAAGGAGAATGAGTACTGGCGATCGCTGTCAGCAGGGGCAGGTCGCTGGACTCAATCCTGAGGGTTGAGAAATTCAAGGACAGGATTTTAAAACCAGCTTCTAGTCAAGATCATCTTTTAAAAACCAATGAAAATGTAAAACGGGGCCAGCAAGAGGCTTGGCTGGTAAAGGCATTCACTGCCAGGGCTGATGACCCTGGGATCTACATGATGAAGGAGGTCTACATGGGATCTACATGATGAAGGGGTCTACATGGGACCTACATGATGAAGGGGTCTACACAGGATCTACACGATGAAGGAGGTCTACATGGGATCTACATGAAGGGGGTCTACGCAGGATCTACATGAACTTCTTCAAGTTGTCCTGGCCCCCACACGTGCACCCTGGCACATGCATGCTCCTGCACACATCTACACATACACTAAATAAATAAATCTAAGAAAAAGGTGTGAGTAAAAGGGATGAAAAAATGAAGGACCTCCCAGCAGACACTGCTTCAAAGGGAGGTTAGTGCTAGCACAGGTAGTAGGATGTCAACCGAGTCAGTGTTCTGAGGACAAAGGAAACCAGTGAGAGGTACCATCACCTCAGATGGACACCGTGTGGGCCGCCTCTTACATACTGGGCACAATATGGTTTATGGCAAAATACTGTCAGGTTTGAGGGAGGGAAAGAACTGGAGGTTTCAATTTGTGGAATACATCCTAATTTGTTTCTCTCAAAATTAAAACTCTTTTCTGAGACTATGAATGACCCTTTATCACAGTCACAGAGTAGGACAGAGCCCTGTAACCATAGGACTAGACCCAGCGATGGGAAATGAGGCAGGATTATACTATGAGACTAAGAAGGGAAAATAGCTGAAGTACCTTGTAAGTTAATAGCAAAAGCTCAATGCCACCAAACAGGAACCTGTTTTAAAATGAATTACCAAAAGAGTACGTATGACAGGTGTGGTGGTTTGAATAAGAACAATTTGCACAGACTGTTGAATACTTAGCCAGAGAGTGGCACTATTTGAAAAGATTAGAAGGATTAGGGGTAGCCTTGTTGACGGAAGTGTGTCACTGGGGACGGACTTTGTGGTTCTGAAAGTGCATTCCAGGCCCAGTCTCTGCCTACAGATGAGGATGCGGCTAGAACTCTGAGCTACTTCCCCAGCACATGTCTACCTGTGTGTGCCACTATGCCCCCTGCCATGATGAGAAAAGACTGAACCTCCGAAACTGTAAGCAAGCCCCATTAAATGCTTTCCTTTGTAAGAGTTGTCTTGGTCATGGTGTCTCTTCACAGCAGTAGCTTTTCCTATTATCTTAGTCACTGCTCTGTCACATATAGCTGTAAAAGACAGCAAATCTGACAAGAACTCAAGGCCTAACTTTTACACCAACACTGTCAGAGCTGGAGATGGCAGTTAAATGCATGTGCTCCTCTTTCCAAAGGCTGGGGTTCAGTCCTGGCGCCTGTAACTCCAAAGCACACCTGCATACATGTGGTGTGTGAGTGCACATACATACATACATAAGAATAAAGTACATTTAATGATAACAACAACGAATGATAGTAATAACAATATAATGTATATATTACTTTGAGAAGCAGGCATAGTGGCACATGCTTATTATCCCAGCAGTAGAGAGGCTCAGGCCACAGGACCCCAAACTGAAAGCCACCATAAGGCTAAAAAGTGACACTCCATCTCAAAAACAACTCATTCAAAAAGCAAAACAAAACTAACTACATAAAACAAAACTTTACAGGGATATGGGGGAACGTTCCTCATCGGCATAGTCTTAGTTATTTCTATACTTGAAATTAAAATGAAGCAAGTCAGAATTTCCTGTAGAGAAAGTATGGCCAATGCCCTCAAGATGGTGTGCATCCTCAGTGATGAACAAGTCTTCTCTTGGGTGGGGTGAACCCAGAAGATCCACGGGAAGTGCTCCCACCTCCTCCACAATATGAGACAAGCTGCCACTGCCCCCAACAGCTTGTGACTTTTGCATCATTAATTACTGTGTCACTAGAGATGAAGGGGCGGAGTGAGATCAAATGTTGCTTCAGCCTACATCCTGCAACTCACTGGGGAGCAGCGTGGGCACACACCCGAGTGACTCTGGGCACGTTGAGTTACTGAGCTGTGGGTATAGAATGACACAGGCCAGTAAGTCTTGTGAATGTGTGTGTGTGCGTGCATGCGTGTGTGTGTGTGTGTGTGTGTGTGTGTGTGTGTGTGATTAGAGACACAGTCAGCACACCTGGGAGGAGTGTGTGTGTGTGTGTGTGTGTGTGAGAGAGAGAGAGAGAGAGAGAGAGAGAGAGAGAGAGAGAGAGAGAGAGAGAGAGAGAGAGAGAGAGAGAGAGAGAGAGAGAGAGAGAGATTAGAGACACAGTCAGTGCACCTGGGAGGAGTGAGACAGTGTGTGTGTGCCTGCGTGCCTGTGTGTATGTGTGTGTGATTAGAGACACGGTCAGCGCACCTGGGAGGAGTGAATGTGAGTGTGTGCATGTGTGTGTGTGTGTGATTAGAGACACGGTCAGCGCACCTGGGAGGAAGGTCAGCCTTTCACAGAACTCACCCCAGCACCACACTCAGTTCCTTCACGTGCACACGTGTGTGTCCCCGGAGATACTCTGAGAGCATTTTACTTTTAAGGTACATCTCCTGTAGTCTGTCTTCCAGATGCATGATGCACTGCAAAGCCAACAGCATTCACAATGAGGACTACAATTTCAGCATCTTTAAGAGCTGGGCTTCTTCTTACTTATTTCTACATATACAACTGTAACTACCCCCTTTTCAAATAAACCCCCAAAACTACCAACTGAAGTTTTTCATAAAATGGCTATTAACGTTTTTACATATCATTCTAGTATCTTTAAAACTATTTTCACAGAGTTGAAATCATTCTATAAGCACGAACATCCCGTCTTTTTGGCTTTTAAACTGTCAACTCTTTATTCTTGGAGCCAATCAGAGAGTCAGCACCATCATCGTTTTAGCTCTTCCTGAGAGTCATATTCCTCCTTAAATTGGTCAAAACCCCACTGACCAGTGAGCTCTGGATCGTAAAAGTAGATGAATGTTTGTATCGTCTTTGTGTCTCTGTTCACAAACTTGTCTTGTTAAGAAACTTACCAATAACCTCGGATTTAAGAATTCCTTCCTGTGCCATTTTTATGCTAGTGCTCTAGGGAATGTTAACTCACTATTGTTTACTTAGCCACGGGGCAGGCTACATCTGGCCTATAATTTTGTAAAGAGTATTTTAGCTCTCGTTTTCTTTCTGTACCTCAGATTTTTCTGGCTTAATACATTCCTAGAAGCAGAATGATTGGAACAAGGTCACTTCAGACTTCTATTTTGCTTTCAAGAGTATCCTTCGGTCTTTTATAACAAAAGGAGAAACAGTTGTTTTGGGGATGGCTTCTCCCTTGGAACTGTGTTTAGCTTCTGTGTTTAGAGACCTACAGCCATGCATTTGTGTCTCTCACCAGTGGCAAATGCCTTTGCATTTGGCAGGCAAGTTACCCCAGTGTCTCTGGGAGACACCTGATGGCTTTGGCAAGGTAATTCCATCATGCATAATTTCCTCCTAGACCATTAGCTCTCTTATTTTCATCATAAAAAGATTAACAGACAAAAACCATTTGAAAATGTTAATCCTGTCCATCCGGGCTAATCGATGACATGGAAAGGTCTGTGAGATGTGGGTGTTTTCTAGTTTCTCATTGGTTAGCACCTTAGGGGCCTTAATGTGGGGATGAGCGGCGACTGCCTGTAGCAGTGATCAAGGCGGGGACGGCACCAGGGCGGGGACGGCACCTGTCTCCTCAGAAGCGCTCCTCTGAGTAAGCAGAGGTAAGCGGCAGAGGGATTTCTTACCAAGTCTTGGCTCATTGTGGAGTGAAATACAAAGATTTTAAATAAGAGTTAACAAGATAACAAAAAAACCATTCAAACGATATTGAATGCTTAATGTCTTAAAGTGGTTTGTGTATAGTGTTTTCAGTCCACAGAAAAAATGTACGATGCAATGCTGGGTCTAGAAATGTCTGCTAAGTGTGGAAAAAAATACATTTAAGAGAAACTTGTCTTTGAAAGCTTCATAATCAAATAGAATTATGTTGAGTGGTTTCCCGTTCTTTGAAGGATTTTATTCCTGAGAGGAGTACCATTTTCAACTTCTAAAATTTTAGTTATTGTCTTCCATATAGAAGCCCCTTGTGTATTTTCTTGTAAGCAATACTTAGATGGAATTCTCTTGGATCCTGGTTCTGCCAGATTATATAGATCACTCATGTATTACTAAGTAGTTATGTATACTTCCACCAAATGAAGCAAAAAGACTCTCCTGTAATTTACTACTTTGATAGTTAACATGTCAGACAATGAGAAGAATGTCTTAGAGAATCCAACGTAGGTATCTGTAGAGACAGCAGCAAGCCACCATGGGGTCTAATGTCTTCTCCTTCCCTTACAGAAAAGGAAACCCAAGCCTCAAAGTCAGAACAAATCAGACTGCTTCTAGGACAAAAGAAGATCGTAATAGCCCTGAGTGTTTCTCCTGCTATCCACGGGACACATGTCCCGCAAGAGCATCTCCCACTACTCTGGGACAGACGTCCCGCAAGAGCATGCTTCAGTTAAGAGTCAAATAAAATTTTTATGAAAGGCACTGCCAGTTTTTATACCATCGATATTGTCTGTCACTGACACACACCAATAATACCTGTTTACTGATGACTTGTAACACCCACCACTATTCCAAGTGTTTCACATTAATTAATTTTCCTAAGCATGTGAAGCAGATCCCCCCCCCCCCCAAGATGGTTTCCCTGTGTAGCTCCAGCTGTCCTGGAACTCACTCTGTAGACCAGGCTGGCCTTGAACTCACAGAGATCCACCTGCCTCTGCCTCCTGAATGCTAGGATTAAAGGTGTTCACCACCATCGTCCAGCCTGAAGCAGATTATATTTTTCCTCCAGATGTATAGATAGGGAAATGAGGCCCAGAGAGGTTACACGGCTCATAAACAGAACTTGAATTGCCCCTCGTGCCCACGTACTGACCACGAATCTGTATGCAGAGTGGCTTTTACGGCCTCCTGTGCTGGTGTGGCACGCTGTCAGCTTGAAAAGCAGCAGTGTCTCCTCTCTGGTTCTCAGAGCGTCCTCACAACATGCCTGTGCTGATTTCCTGCTGCAAACAGGAAGCCCACGCTTCAGGGACACCCCCAATTGCCCATCACACAACGAGCAACGGCCAAGTGGAACCCAGGGGTGTTGCAGGGTCTTCCTCCTCTACTACACGGCCGCAGCGTTCACAACCAGCCCTCCGAGCTCCCACATCAGTCTTGACCATGCAGAAGGTGCTGAGACTGAGGATCTGGCCGCAAGAATAAAGACAGATGGCCAGTGAACTGGCCATCAGTGTATTCACTGATACTCAGCTTCCAGCTTTGCTGTGAAACGGCTGTGTGACTGACAGAAATCTGAACTCAGACTTGGCTGCAAAGAGCAACCCTGCACAGGCGGGAAGGAAGCAGGAAGAGCAGGCCCGTTCGTGTAGCGTGTGTCCCCAAGGCCGGCACACTAGGCTGCTTAGTTACACGCCTTTCATTCCTCTCCCTGCCGAACCTTCCTTTCTCACTTTCCCAATACACTTCCTCTTCCGACCTCTCTGTACATCACCAGGTGTGCCAATTGGTTGTGTGTATTCCACTGACTAGGGGAGAGCTGCCAATCATTTCTTAGGACTCTCTAGGTTGTTCTTAGTTTCTATTTAAAATGCTGCAAAAGTGATCATAAAATCTCACCTAGAAAGGGGCAACTGATGCCATGTGATAAGCTCTTTAAATGTACTCTGTTTGGAACTGCCCCAGTTCACCTGTGATGGACGTAAGGCTGCTCACAAACAGAAGAAACAATTCCCTCAGCAACTGGCCTGCCTCAGATCCATCTAAAAGTTCTCCAATGTGGGATTTTAAATTTCCTTTTCTAAAAATTTTAAATTTTACTTTTCCTTACTGCCTGCCCTTTCAGCTGGCACTGTCCAACGTGCCATCAAAGCTTTACCTAGTCTGCGGCTTTGATGATGCATGCTCCATTTTCCTTAATGCTGACCTTCCATATATTAAAAAAATGATATTTATAGCCAAAACAGCAAATAAAAGCCATCTGCTAATTACACGGTTTTTTGATGGTAAAGAGCAAATACTCACGAAGTCGGCAGGCAGGTGAAGCTTATAGAGCTGTAAAATGGACTGAAGCAAACAGGACACCTGATTAGAGACCAAGACGTCCTGGCCTAGCTTCATGGTGTCCATCACTTTCCTCTGGCTCGTGGCCACTTGGACAGTCCATTTGTCCGTGTCTGCAATGATACAGACGGCTTCGGCTATGGGCTCGTCGAGCACTGGATGCTGAGGGAGAGAGGCAGAGGGTCAGCATTCTGCAGCTCAGAATGGACAGGGTGTTTTGTGTGGCCTCAGAAGATGAAGACGAGCACTGTACAAGTGTGGAGCTTCCCTGGCACCCAGAAAGGCGTGTCACCAAACCAGCACTTAAACTCATGAGCCAGGAGCTGTGAGAAGGCTCAGAGGGTAGAGCTCTTGACAACCCAGCCTCAGTCCCCGGGATCCACATGGAAGGAGAAACTGTCAAGTTGTCCTCTGATCTGCAACTGTGCTGTGGTGTGTGCGTGTACACACACACCAAGCTACCAGTTCCTGAAGGGCATAGCTTTAATGTAACTGTGGTTACACACACCAATCATTTCTAATAATCTACTGTAACCAGGCCGAGGACTTATTGATCTAGATGAGTCCAAAAGGTCAGTGTGGCTAATGAGACATATGCTTAAAATCTAAGAGACTTTACAATAAACTGCATCGTAGAGAAGCATCTGTAATGAGTTATCTCAGTTGTCAACTTGATGAGATTTAGAGCATGCTCGTCAGAGGCTGTAGGCAGTAGCTTCCCTGTCCACAGCTGCTCTCGAATGCTGGGCCACTAGCTCTTACAACTTAACCCATCTCTGTTAACCCATGTGCCGCCCCGAGGCTCAGGGCCTTTACCTCTATCCCATTTTGTGTGTCCTCATCTGGCTGGCCATGCCTCTGACTCTGCCCTTCTTCATCCCATCATTCTCAGTTTGGCTTTCCCACTGAACCTTACCCTGCTCAACTACTGGCCACTCAGCTTGCTTATTAAACCAATTACAGAGACAAACCTTCACAGTGTACAAAAGGATTTTCCACAGCAAGGGGTTGTCTTGATTGGGACACTTGAGGTAGGAAAGCTAGCTCATGATGGGTGGCACCATTCCCTAGGCTGGAATTCTGGACAATATAAAAAGGATAAATTGAGCTGAGTTCAAGTATTCACTAGCCTCTGCTGCTTGTCCACAGATACAATGTGACCAGCTGTACCAAGGCTCCTGCTGCTGTGGCTTGGCTGCAATGACAGACTGTAATCCATCCTTGCAGTGAGCCAAAATAAACCCTTCTGATGGGTGATGTTCTTCTGCATATGTTTCTCTTATTTGGTTGATGAATAGGGGACTCCTCCAAGACAGCCTCCTTTCTAACCTGTTGACTTCAGGCTGCTGCTGGCCGGGTGCACTTAACACCAGGCACTACTTAAGGAATGATTTCTTGTCTGATGGGACAGGCTGTTCTTTTGAAGTCTAGCTGGTTGGTTGCCCACATGGGTTAATTAGTATTCACGAGCATGTATCACATCCACGCTTTCAGCAAAGCCCCTTATCTGTGCTACTGACTCCTGTGTGATATTTCTGGAGTCAATCTGTTGCTACTCTTAAAATTAAATGGAACAGGCTGCTATATCCAACTGTTATTTATAGATTAGTCTGCAAAACGCCTGAAGCCTAGATCACTATTTTGTTTTGTTTTGTTTTTTTAGGCTAAAATATGATGTGAATTTTGGTCCTGACGACCTTAGCTCATACAGTGGGAGATGCCAGCCTGCTCCTTGTGACATGACAAAGGGCAAATTTATGTTCAGGCTCAGCTCAGTCATGTCTAGCAGGTTCTTTCAGCGACTCACCCACAGCCAAGCGAGAGTGTTAAGGACACTTGCACATCTTTCTAAACTCTTGATAGTAATTCTGCTTCAACTAAAATAATGGTATCTACCTGTTAGCAACACCTTGTACTGCTTTACGGCTTACAAGGCACTTTCCCGTTTGTCTGTCTGCTGTTGTTTTGTTTTTCCTGACAGGGTTTCTCTGTGTAGTCCTGGCTGTCCTGGAACTCACTCTGTAGACCAGGCTGCCTTGAACTCACAGAGATCCGCCTGTCTTTGCCTCCTGAGTGTTGGGATTAAAGGCAGGCACCACCATTGCTCCACCCACATTTCCTGTTTTATTAGTTAACATTTACTGGGAATGTACACTTAGTAGTGTGCCAGGCACTGTGCTCAACACTTTATACGGATCATAGAATTTTCAAATTCAAATGACATTGGTACGGTTTATTTTATAGAATAGAAACTTCCCCCAAAGGCCACAAACCCATTAAGAGCTATGAATTACAAATTGAATACCCCGATATTAACCCATACACATATGAACACCTGTTTTTTGACAAAGAAGCTAAAATTATACAATGGAAAAAAGAAAGCATCTTCAACAAATAGTGCTGGCATACCTGGATGCTGGCATGTAGAAGACTGCAGATAGATCCATGTCTATTGCCATGCACAAAACTTAAGTCCAGCCGGGCAGTGGTGGCGCACACCTTTAATCCCAGCACTCGGGAGGCAGAGGCAGGCGGATCTCTGTGAGTTCGAGGCCAGGCTGGACCGACAGCCTCCAAAACAATACAAAGAAACCCTGTCTCGTAAAAACCAAAACAAACAAACAAACAAACAAAAAACTTAAGTCCAAATGGATCAAAGACCTCAACATCAATCCAGCCACACTGAATCTCTTAGAAGAGAAAATGGGTGGTACCCTTGAACAAATTGGTACAGGAGACTGCTTCTTGAACATAACACCAGTATCACAGTCACTGAGATCAACAATTAATAAATGGGACCTCCTGAAACTGAGAAGCTTCTGTAAGGCAAAGGACACAGTCAACAAAACAAAAAGGCAGCCCATAAAATGGGAAAAGATATTCACTGATCCCACATCTGACAGAGGGCTGATCTCCAAAATTTACAAAGAACTCAAGAAGCAAGCCTCCAAAACACCAAAGGATCCAATTAAAAAGTGGGGTACAGAACTAAATAGAGAACTCTCAATAGAGAAGTCTAAAATGGCTGAGAGACACTTGAGAAAGTGCTCAACATCCCTAGCCATCCAGGAAATGCAAATCAAAACAACTCTGAGATACCATCTTACTCCTGTCAGAAAGGCTAAAATCAAAAGCATTAATGACAGTTTATGCTGGAGAGGATGTGGAGAGAGGGGAACACTCCTCCACTGCTGGTGGGAGTGCCAACTCGTGCAGCCACTTTGGAAATCAGTATGGCGATTCCTCAGAAACATGGGAATAAACCTACCACAAGACCCAGCAATTCTACTCTTAGGCATATATCCAAAAGATGCACATTCATAAAACAAGGATGTCTGTTCCACTATGTTCATAGCAGCATTATTTGTAATAGCCAGAACCTGGAAGCAACCTAGATGCCTCTCAACTGAAGAGTGGATAGAGAAAATGTGGTACATTTACACAATGGAGTGCTATTCAGCAGAAAAAAACAATGGAATCTTGAAATTTGCAGGCAAATGGATGGTGCTAGAAGAAACCATCCTGAGTGAAATAAACCAGTCACAAAAAGACAAACATGGTATGTTCTCTCTTACATGAATTTTAGACATGGATCAGTGGAGTACCAGCATACAATCCCACTGCCAGAGAGTGTGGGAAACAGAACCGTCATTCAGTGACTGACGGAAGCAGAGGCAGACACCCACAGCTAAACACTGAACTGAAATCCTGGAACCCAGTGACAGAGAGGGAGGACTGATGAGCAAAGGGGTCAAGACTGGGATGGTTTAACCCACAGAAATAGCTGACCTGAACAAGGTGGAGCTCTTGGAACCCAGACTGATGGCTGGGAGGACAGCATGGGACTGATCCAGACCCCCTGAATGTGGGTGTCAGTGAGGAGGCCTAGGCAATCTATGGGGCCTTGGGTAGTATTTATCCCGAGCATAAAATGGACTTTAAGTGCCCATCCCACAATGAGGGATGCTCTCTCAGCCTGGACTCTTGAGGGAGGGCCTAGGCCCTGCCCTGGATGAAATGACAGACTCTGGAGATCCTCCATTGGATTGGGGATTGGGTGGGGGACTGGGAGACCTGATTGGAGGGGGGCAGGGGAGGAGGAGAGGGAGAGGGAGCTGGGATTGACATGTGAAGCAAGCTTGTTTCTAATTTAAATTTTTAAAAAATGAAGAAAAAAAAAAGAGCTATGACTCAAACCTAGGTTGCCTCTTTGGAGGCTGAACTTGTCACATGCAGGCCAGAGGTCAAACTTGGGTGTTGTTCCCTGTGTACGGTCGTCTTGTTTTCTGAGATAGGTGCTCTCACAAGGACCTTACTAATGAGGCTGCGCTTGGCTGGCAGTGAGTGAGCTACAGGAATCCCCCTGCCTCTGTCTCCCCAGTACCAGATTATGGATACACGCTACTGCACCCAGCGTTTCTGCATGGGCCCTGGAGACTGAACGAATCCTCGTGCTCTTTCCAACTGAGGTAGCACCCCAAGCTGGGAAGCAAACTCTGCACCTCTGCATTATACCTTCCCTGTTCCCGCGTCCTTCAAAGTCTCCTTCAAAGTCTCCGTGAGCAGCGACACCAGGACCCACACCCCGGCCACTGCTGATGTTGTCTAATGCCTGCCTCTGACCCCAGTTCAGTCACTAACACTGCCCAGCTGGCGACAGCAGTCGCCGGCAGACAGGACGCAGAAGAGAGACCGCTTGAGGGCCACAGGACAAGAGCAGCGGTGCTGGCTGTGTATCTGCACGAAGGAAGACAAGGACAAGCTCACACGCAGTTCCGGTGACAGACTGAAAAAGAGCACACGGTAAACAGCCAGAGAAAACCTGAGTCTTAGTATGTGAGAGGCAGTAGAAGCCATGAAAAGAAAGAGCAAAAGGCCTCTTTCATAAGAGACCAATGATAGGTTTCCTATACCCTGGTGCAGCTAGGCTGACAAAAAGAGCAAAAGGACGCTCTTGATGTTGAATGTTCTAGAAAGACAGCCCCTTGTTCTCTGAAGGAAACTAGTCTACTGTAGTTATACAATGTACATTAATGAAGCCAGACTATAATCTAAGCCATGCATAAAATCTAAAAAAAAAAAAAAAGATCAATAACCTACATCAATTCCTTTAAAAAATGTTATTCAAAATCTTTCTTTAAAAGGAATTGTGAGTTTCAAAGTCTGGCGTGAGACCGAATTATTTATATCCCTCAAAACAGGTTGGGAAAGCAAGTGGTGCCAAGTGATTTACCCCACTGCTCTGCCACAGGTTCTCAGCCCCCACAGGCCATCGCTCTCCCATCTCTGCTGCTTTTCCTGTTCTCAGCTTTGAAACCACTGTCCTGCCGGGCGGTGAGGGCGCACGCCTTAAATCCCAGCACTCGGGAGGCAGAGGCAGGCGGATCTCTGTGAGCTTAAGGTCAGCCTGGTCTACACAGTACGCTCCAGGCCAGCCAAAGTGAACTCCTGTCTCAAACAAATAAGCAAATACAAACAAAAGCAAAACTCACCGTGAATGTGTCGAGTGAAATTGGAAGTCCACTAATGTCTTATTGCGAAGTTATTAAATTTTGAAGATATTCTATGAGCCCTTCACAATTTCCTATTAACACTATGCACATGGTTACATTTTGTATATGCCCGTATCATATGATGTGTCATTATGTCTAATAACATTCAACCTCTCAAGATGACGTTATGATTTAAAGAAACAAGAGCTGCTACAGTGTAAAAATACTATTTTTAAAGGGAAGAAAATAAAACATGGAAAAAATTTAAGGGGAATGATAGTGTAGACATGGCTTTTTTCTCAAATATAAGAATTATAGAGCCAGATGGTTACAATGACACTGTAATATTGAGAGACTAGAAACTGATGATCTAAAAAATGCCAAACTTTCATGAGTTGTGTGTCACAGATAAGTTTGAGGGGATCATCAACTAGGAGGCTGCTTTTCCACGGTGGTTAGTAGGGGCACTTTTGGGAAAAATAGTGCGGCACCTGGTAAGACCAATGTCACTGAGGCCAACCTCACTGGCTGCTACAGTCTCCTGGGTCTGTCAGAAGCAGAACTCTGGTTTGGTAGAGAAAGGGTACAAGGAGGTGAGGCCACAGCCTTGGGAATCAAACCAGCAGCGCTCTGCACACATGGATAAGAGCGGGAGGCAGTGCCCCAAAGAACAGGGTCCATTCGTGCCCCAACACATGCTGAACACACAAAGCCCACGTACCCGAGGGCCGTGCAGAAAGAGGATTTGATGCAATGAGGGCCCCGTGCTATGGGATGAATGGACGGATGGCGCAATCTCTGACATGATCAAGAGCAAGCGTGCAGTATCTGTGCTGAGCATGAAAAATTGTGTAAGCTACCTACAGACAACAGCAACGTCACAGTTTTATTCCAGGACTACTCTGGTGAGGGGTGGTGTCTGTCTGATCGCAAAGTGCATGGGGCTAGGCATAGCTGAGCAAGCACACGTATGGTGGATGGGTCCCGCCCAGCACCCAGGACCGTATTCTTCATCCCTTTGCCTCTATGGGATGCGGGATCGTGACCTCTGCTTCCCATCTGGGCTCTTCTTCCTATCCTTAGCCTGTTGAGCCTGTCTGCTGTGTGTGTCCGGGTAGATGGTCAAGGCCAAAGTAACGTACAGTGCGCCTTTCCTAGTTTTAAAAAGTCTTCCCCCAAATAAACGGAAAGTGTGCAAGGGAGATTATAAGCCAGGTTCCAGTAATCTTAATGCAACAAGGATTCTTCCTATTGCACAAGATACGTATGTTTCTAATTGCGAAACATCTATGTTTGCACATCTGCTGACTAGCAGCTCAATTAAAAACAGGTCCATCGGATTGACAGTTTCTGTAAGTGCTCAGCTCCTGTCGTGCTGCAGATAACAGAAAAGCACCCAGCAGTAGTTACAGGCAATTTTCCAGGAATACCTGTAAATCTTTCTACAGCCACCTCCTCCCGGCTACCAAAGTGAGCTCAGTGACAATCAGTTAAGAAATTGCTTTTAGGAACCTGCAAGGTTTGAAATAATAAGCAAGCCGCACACAACCACTCTCTGGTCTCCCTTCTGAAGGCCTGTAATTGTCACTCACCATTTGTGCCATCCATCGGTTTGCCAGGCCAGCCCAGAGCCAACCACCCCTCCTTTGCTCTCCTCCCCAGCCTGTTCTGACCCCAGGAGGCTGAGCTCTATGGGAAATGGGGAGCACCTGCCTTAGCTGTGCCCTTGCCCTGCAGAGAACTAGCAGCCAGATGCCCCGCCTTCCGCACTGCCCCCAGACAGGCAGTCCCTCCTGACCCAGGACTCTGCTGCTCAGCTCTGCTTTCCCCTTGCTGAGCCTGGCCCAGGTATGCTCACAGACCCCGGAATCTCAGTCACGCCTCCTAGGCTGTCGCTCTGCCTTCACAGATGCTTCCAGCGCAAACTGGAGAACCTGTCGCTGGCCATGCATCGGCTCTACACTGGGTCACTTACATGCACCGTGTGGGCCAGGTCCGCTGCCAGACACTGCCTCAGCTTCTCGTCGCTGCTGGTCCCGTGCAGCACCAAGTCGGGCATATACGTAGCGCAGTAACCCGCCAGAAGCGAGCGGGCGAAATTTCTCACGTTCGGCTTGCTGGTGCTCTGAGACCTAGAACAACATTCGAGCTATCAAACGCACAGTTAAAGGTACTCAGTTGTTTTACAGTGGAAACAAAACCGCCAACGGTACAAGAAGATACAATAGTTTCCTGTAGCCACATCAGCGTCCGTAAGGAGATAGTGAGTGTAAGAGGGGTTGGGGGAGAAAAGGAAGCATTTTTACTAAAACAGAAGCCTGGAAAAAAATATATACTATTCCTATGGCTGGTTAAAACTTCATCCTTAGCCAGGTGCGCGTGGAGGTGCGTGTCCTCGGGGTAAGGCCAGCCTAGGCTACACAGTGAGACCTTGTCTAAAAAACCTAGGGATCTGCTCTCACTCCTCACACCCGAAACATCCACCCGAAAGTCCATGTCAGAAGAGCGAAAGAGGAGGCTGGGGCCGCGGTGCCCGGAGCACGGCTTTATGAATCTGACCCTGTCCACCACGGTGAGGACAAAAGAAGGATCTTTTAATTGCAACTTTCAGTCATCACAGGCCAAAGAGCCAACCTGATGGAGCACTAAAGATTATGAGCCTCATGGTGGGTGTGACCTATCACCTTGGAAGCAAGACACCCAAGCCAACTGTACAAATTACACACATACACCACCAGGTGGAACTCCTCCTTGATACTGTGACTCCTGTGGCCCTTCACACTCGCGCACACGCACGTGTGCGCGCACACACACACACACACACACACACATGGATGTACACACGCCCCCAATGTCTCAAGAGCTGCAAAGACAACCAGTCCTCTGTCCAAGAACATAGCTGCACGAAGACCGTTGAGTATCCCTGGAAACCACACAGGCTGGAAACCCCTGGAATGCAACTGGTGATAGCTCTAATATTTAAGAGAGAAATACCCGTGTTACATATAAAGTGGCCGTGGGTTACATATAAAGCGGCCGTGGGTAGCTACCGTTTTCGTAACGTCAGGCTGGCAACATACGCCGCTGCCCCATGCAGTGTTACCTTGGCAGAGGCAGCTCCACCTCCAAGGACCCTTCAGTCCTGTCACAACTGGGACCGAGGTCCAGCAGGGCTAAAGCACATGCTTCGTCATCGCTGTCTCCGAGAGCGCTGTCCAAGCTTTCGTTCCTGGGAATGTCTCCCTCCATCCTCAAGTGGACCTTACCACCGGCGTCCCCACGGGGGACATCTGCAGCACCCGGCAGGCCACCCTGCTGTCTACATGTGTTTACAGGCTGTCTTTTCCCGCCTCTTAACTGCAAGTCTCCAGGGTGTTTCAGCAGTCTCTGGTCACCGCCTGCCGCACAGCTGGAAGGTGCAAGGGGGCCATGGGCTTGGCTAAGTGGTCCCACAGCACATGCCACCGCATTGGCTTGGAGGCCTCTGTCCTCAGGGACACCTTCTCCCCCTGAGGACTGGTCCTGAGGAAGGGCAAGGTCCCTCTGAAGGTCAGCTCTGGAGGAACACCCGGAGCCCTGCTGGCCTTGAGTCGGGCCAGAGTCCAAGCTAGGCCTGGCAGAGGCACGAGTCCCACGGAGTCCACCACAGGCCTTTAACCGCTCCTCCATCTTTTTGGTGCGGCTTTCAAAGTCGGACTCTGGAGAGATGGAGCTCCCGATGTGGAACGTGACCTTTTCACCAGGAGGTCCTTCCTGGGGATGTCTGTCAGGGCAGGGCCAGGCTGCTGACCTGTCGGCTGCTTGCTTTAGCATCTCCCCGTGTAGCTCCTCGTGGACAGCTTGAGGGTCCGTCCTTACTCTTGCCCTGGGAACCTCACAGCCGGGAGGTCTTGAGGAGCCGTCCTGGGGCGCCTCTTGGTCATCCCGGCTGTCCTCACCGAACAGGCCTTGAGGTGCCCACGAACCGTCAGATTCTGCCTCCTGGGACCCCGTTCTGCTGGCCTCAGGATTCTGCTCTGGCTTCTTGCATCCTTTTCTTCTGTCAGGTGGGTGACCCAGCTCACCGGTGCCTGCGCCCTCCGGGACCTCAGCTACTCCGGCAGGCTCCGGGCGGCTCCTCTCAGGCGTCACTGGCGGGAGGATCGGCGGGACGAGAGCAGGCTCGTTTCGCTCGTTTCGCACCGTAACCACCACATACTCAGACTCCTCCACCTCTCCCTTTTCCAAGGCTGTCACAATCTTGCTCCCGTTTATGACCTGGTCATCCTCACTCTGATTCCCACTCCAGCTCAGCTGATTTTCTTGTAGCTCAGAGCAACGGAGGAAGTAGGTCAGAACGTAAAGGATGCGCTGGACCAAATCCTTCTGCTTCCCAATCACCACAGTGCGGGTCAGCCTCACCGGAGAGCCTATGGCTCCATAGAGATCACCTGCAGGGCAAAGACGGACAGAAGACAAAGTCCCCTGGTGTTAGCACTTATGGAAAATCTGCCCTCTACAAGAACAAAACCGGTCACTTGATCCCAAGCCTCCAATCACTTCTTGGGGCACCAGATATAAAACTGTGTTCCAGCTGCCCTGATACTGGACAGCAGGTCTGGAAGGCCTAACCAGCTGCAGCCTAGCATCCAGATGAGTACGGCAGGGCGTGGTGGCAGTACTGATGGACACAGAAGGCACTCCCTGGGCTCAGGTGGTTACCTGCTGGTGCAGGGGAAGCTGAAGCCATTGCTCTGCATAAATGACCAAATCAAGTAGAGATTATCTTGCAAATTATAAGAATTTCTATGCTGGGAGGTGGTGGCACATGCCTATAATCCCAGCACTCAGGAGGCAGAGGCAGGCTCCAAAGCTACACAGAGAAACCCAGTCTCCAAAAACCAAAAAGAAAAAGAAAAAGAAAAATTCCTTAGAAGAATACAGTAGGGAGTGCATCATGGGGGATGTGGGGAAAGCTCAATGGTTAGGAGCATAAGCTGCGCCTGTTGAGGACCTAAGTCCAATCCCCAGCACCCACATCCTCCCTGGGCCAGGCTTCTCTCAACTGTCTGAATTCTAGCAGGCCATCTTCTCATCTCCTCAGGCACCGGAACTCACACGCGCACACCCCCCGCACAGATAAACAAACACAAACACATGACTAAAAATAAGGAGGAGTCCTAGGATGGTGAGTCATCTTAGTGTAACGTGCAAATTCAAGAACTGTCAAACTGATAGGAAGGAAATTGATTAAAATTACTTAATGAGGTATTGTGTAGGCTTCTTAGTTCATGGATTTACTCTAAGTTAAGTCCGTTTGATATATAAGAAAAATTACCTTCTCATGAATAACAATTCTGTAAACTTTCTTTATTTCATATCATATAAAAAGTGTGCAGGACACAAAATATGTCTTCCTAGTTATCCTCCGGTGAGTGGTTAAAACGGGCTGATGAGCCAGTGTTGTGTTCACTGTGAAGATGACAGAGCACGTCAACTGTGCTCATGACCAGTGCATCCTATCATAGAACACTGATATAGAGGCTTACGAAAGGGAATATGGAACAGGAAGGATTCAATTGGGGGTCGGGAACAGAGGGCAGGGTAGAGGAGGGAGTAAGGGGAAAGATAACTAAAGATACTTTTTAAGAAAGCAGTATGGAGACAGGCAGTGGTGGTGCACACCTTTAGTCCCAGCACTGGGGAAGGTACAGACAAGAGGATCTCTGTGAGTTCCAGGCCAACCTGGTCTACCGAGTGAGTTCCAGAACAGCCTCCAAAGTTACAGAGATACCCTGTCTCAAAAAACAAACAAACACACAAACACACAAACAAACACACAAACAAAAAAAGAAAGTCACATGGAAACCAAATACTGTAGACTCTCACACACAAACACACACATACCTTAAAATGGAGTTACCTGTAACAGGGCAACAATGTTCCTATTAGATGCTTCAAGCTATCAAATAAAAAAAAATCACAGAGCCAAGAATGGCTTGTTTCTTTTGGAGTTGTTGCCTGATGCGGTCCTACAGATCCCCAAACATTGCCAATGCTCTTAGTTACACTAAGACCTTAGTGTTGAAGACACCACACAGGAAAACAAGCAGGTACCTACCTGGGAGCTTCCTCCCTACAGGCTGGCCTCACAGTGCTTGAAGGTGTTATGCATGCTGCTGGGGGGCGGGGTCACCAATCATATCCAGCTGTGACCTCTGTGAGCTACAGTACCGCCTGACTTGGGAAGACATGCCCACTGGTGCAACAGCAGCAAGAACATCACGGGGGTAACTAAACACCGTTTGCTTGGATTTAAGTCCTGTTCCACAGAATGAAATCCATACCCAGCACAATTATCATGCCAAGGAAGGACCTATGGCTGGACAGGTCACAGGCCTTGGGGAGAACCTACTAGTATGACTCTGCTAAATGGAAACAATATTTCTAATGGCTTACTGCATACCCATAGATTGATGCATCTCTCAAGCCTCATCCGAGAAGCTTGTACTTACAGTGGATGGTGATTTGCACAGGGATCTACAACTGGCTGGGAGACTGCAAAACACTCTGCCCTAAGCAGAACACACATACTGCACACACACCCCACACCTTCTCACAGATCTTTACAGAAGAGGGGACAAGGCACGTAAGAGGCAGGGGCGACTACAAGGAAACAGCGTCTTCTGGACACAGCAGGGCAGGCAGCTGCATACATGAACTCACAACAGTCTCCACAACATACGCAAAACTTGTGCAGACACAAGACAGACCAAATTCCAGCCTGGAAATGGGAACTGGGCATAAAATCCCATAGCTGAGGAGCTAGGGGCAACTGCTAGCTTCTGGGAAAAGGAGAGACAGTTTCTGAGTGTTGTCCTGGTTAAGCCGACCATACTCTAGGCCAAGACCACACACCCAAGGATATTTGGGCAACACAAATTGGTCTTGATGGGCTTTAAAAAATAAAATCAAATAATGTTTAAAAGGACACAGGGTTAGGTGGGTAGGGGGATGGATCTGGGGTAGGGAAGGTGACTACGAGCAAAACATGCCAAAACTCCCAAAGACCACATTTTAAAAAAATACTCATTACCGGGCTGGAGAGATGGCTCAGTGGTTAAGAGCACTGACTGCTCTTCCACAGGTCCTGAGTTCAATTCCCAGCAACCACATGGTGGCTCACAACCATCTGAAATGAGGTCTGGTGTCCTCTTCTGGCATGCAGGTAGAACACTGAATACATAATAAATAATAAAATCTTGAAAAAAAAATACTCATTACCTAACTACTAACTTATCAAGCTTGATCATTTCATTATGTGTGTTAATAAGACAGACAACCAACATCTACTGAATGGGTAGGCACTTAAAGATTATATCCTTATACAACCAAGCACTGGGAGGGACTAAAGAAATGGCCAGAAGGTTGAGAGCCATCAACACTGGAAGGGGTGTTACATAAACAGAGGAGACAGTGACAGTCACAAAGACGACTGTGGGAAGTCAGGACTCTGTTGAGGAATGCATCCGCAGTGAGAGGCAGGAAGCCACAGGTTAGAGAAAACTAAAATTAGTAGGCTGAGGCTGAGAGAAACATTGTGAGAATGGACAGGAAGTTCTCTCTAGGGAACCATAAGGATGTGTGTCCTTGGGAGAGTTTTCCCTAGTGTGCAGCTTCCAAGAACATTTAAAGGGCAGGACAGAAATAATAATACACAACTTCTCTATAAAAAGCCAAGACCAAGGGATTACAGAGCTTCAGCATCTAAGAAGTCACCCTAGACTTCAAAGTCGGAGCTCAGAAGTATGGTGAGATGCTACGGCTTGGTCTGAGAAAACTGCCCTGACCACAAGCTCATGTCACGACTTCCTTCTGATCCTGTCTCCCCACACTTCAGGACATCACAGTCACCTCGGCACTCAGGCGTTTCTATGGCCTCAGTGCTGCTGCTACTACGTGCAAGCTGGATCTATCTGGTGGTGTAGGCCTATGATCCTAGTTACTAGGGAAGCTGAGACAAGGGGATCGTGAGGTCCAAGCCAGCCTGGGCTACACAGTATGAAACAAATGAGCAACACACCCCACCTCCCCCCAAAAAATTACACAGATCTAAACAAACGTTAGCAGATGGCTTGAACCTTGTATATTTTGATATACCTTTTCAGTTAGTTTTCTAAGGGTTACAGCATCATGGCCTATGATTTTTCATGTAAAGGAAGTACAGAGAAAGACCTGCACGGGTCACGAAGGGTTATCCCTGTAGCTAGTGCACAGTAGCAAAACTAGAAGAGAAGCAAAGGAGGTTCCTTCCTCAGGAGAAGGGCGCAAAAATCTTCCAAAAGGGCAAAATTGGGAGTCTTTCAAAGAGAAGAGGTTCTATTTGTGAATGAAATGGATGAAGAGGGAGGAAGGCATGTTGCTAAGTCAGGGCTGGGGCACTTAGCAAGAGTGCTTACAGACCTGAGGACCTAGCTTCGTTTCCCAGCACCCATACAAGAAGCCAGGCATAGCCATGGGTGTCTGTACCCCAGCTGCGGGTGACAGAGCTCCAGCCTCAGTGAGAAAAATCCTTCTCTAGGGGACAAGGCAGAGGGAGACAGAAGAGGACACCTGACAAGCCTGATGCCCCTGCAACACATCTATACATACGTGCATGTGTACATCCACACATTATGTATGCATGCATGCACACTGCTGAATTAACAGTCATGAGAAGTAAAACTAGAAGATGGTTAGCATCAACATCAAGGTGGGCACCATTTTCTATGGGAGGAGGGAAAACAAGGTGTGAACTTTCTTGTTGTGGGATTAGATTTACAAGGATTCACCACCTTTTATTTTTTGGTCAGAAAATAATTGCTGCAAACAAAGGGCATTGCTCTGAAACACGTAAGCTTCACTGCAACCCTCTTGAAGAGTCAGCTGCCTGGCCTGTAAAGTGGAAAGTCTCATGTTTGTGATAGCCAAGCTCGTGGGTCATTTAATCCTTAGTCTCTGATGAAGAGCACATCTCATCAGGGCGAAGAAAAAGATAGCACACTGAAAACAGGTCAAGTTGGAGTACCCATTCTGAGGAGAAATAGAAAGAATGGAGAAAGATGTACACAGCCTGATGCCTGTGGGCCTCATCAAGCACCGTGATATGCACACAGTAGGGATTCTAGGGACAGGAGGCAGGGAGCCTGGAGCAGAGGATTCCCAAAAACTTAAAAAGTTCATGAATGACATAGGTCTGTACATTCAACATCAGTGAGCTCCAAGCAGGAAACTCCAAGGAAAAGTAGTCATGCTGCAGCTGAACTGTCAAAACCAAAGGCCCAAAGGGCGTCTTGGAGGCAGCAGGAGAAAACCTCGCTGCTCAAGCTATTTCTCACCTACAGCTAATTCTATGCAGAGACACCACATTCTAAAACTCACAATTTACAGACCGTCTATGCGAGTCATTCTGTTTCTATCCTACTATCCTGCTTAAACGCTTTCCTCGCCCGCAAATGGCTTCCACAGGCCAGTGGTGGAGAGAACCCTAAGTGGAAACCCTGCGCATGGCCCATGAGGACAAAGGCACAGATCACTGTGCTCTGCAGGGCAAGTCATTGAGTGTGAAGAGAGACAGTCGCTGAAAAATCACACGGGTGAGATGAGAAGTGTAGACTGTCCCCATGAGCTCTCAGTAAGATGCTGAAATCATTCAAGATAGAGTGCTTTCATTACTTAGGGAACTAGACTAAAATCGCATGTGCATCAACACTTAGTCCAGAGCTTACATTTTCCTGCCTACCCTGACACACAGAAAACAAATGAAATTTAGGTGCATCCTGTGACTAATCATGGAAATGCCTTCATCATTTGTGATAATGGAGACTCGATCGCTCACGCTTGTCTCTATGAGGCTGTCACATGCCTCCCTGTGCAAGGCTTCATTCCCTCCTCAAACTACTCTGATCAACACCAGACCTTGGAGGGACTCTCCTCAGGAAGAGAGAACTGAAGACCTTCAGTGGCATATATCTCCAGTGACAAGCAACGGACAAGCCCACAAGAAGGGATTTTTGCCTTGTTCTGCTGAACACAAGGAGTCAGCGGCTCCCGGTGAGCTCGGTCCCACAGGAGGAGCACTCCTGAGTTAGAATGCATTTATCTAATTAAATGCATGCGGTTTAATTACCACTATTTGAAAGTCGACTCTGCAGCGGGCTGCACTGCATTTCCTTAATATCCAGCCCAGTGCCCCTCAGGAGTAAATACTACACTTTGAAAAGAATGTCTTCCCGTCGAGACAGCGATGTGTGTCCTCAAGAGGAGCAGTACCCAACCCTGAGCGAGGTGGCAAGTTTTGAACTGCTCCTTTTATCAAGCACCAACGTATAAAGCACTGTATTTTTCATCTTTTATTCTTTTGTTGTTGAAACAATGCCTTGGTTAAATAGCCCAGCCTGGCCTACAACTCATAATCCTCCGGCCTCTGCCTCCCAGGTCCTGGGATTACAAGTCATGCGCAGTCTATCCCAGTCTAAAACGGTTTCACTCTCCATGAATTCTTTAATTTATTAAAAACATGCTTATTACTTACCCTATGAGACTTGTATCTTCTTCTGTGTCTCACAGGCAGAAGAACAAGAAAGTATTTTTACTGCTATAAAATCAGGACACCGGTAACAGGCAGGGGTGAGAATCTCACCAGTTAGTATGTGTATAAGGTACTAACAACACTGCCTGTGTCGTGGTGGCAGTTTTTGTTACAGTTACTGAAACACCTGTTTTCTAGGACTGGAGTGCTCTCCCCGGCCCACTGCTCTTCCTAAATTACCATTTGGAGATTCCTTCAAGTAAGCCTTCCTGGAAACCGTCACTCATCCCCTTTCTCCCTGCGTGTTTCAGCTAACAGCACGAACAGCAAAGGTGCTTTGTACAACTGATCACATCTCACAGCAAACACTGAGTCCTGGCCCCGACCCACGTGACAGGAGCAGAGTGCTTAGCCACACGCGAGGCCCGGGTACTGTCACTAACACACAGAAGGGAGAGGTACAGGAGAGCTAGGTGACTGCCTGCAGACGGAACCAAGTCCAAGGCTTCTGGCCCCAAGTCCACTCCCAGGACACCCTCACTCCCACATCCTTGAGTGCTCTTCTCCAAGCACGACAATGCTCTCAAGTGACCTGGTGAGGGCTCAGTTGGCCCTGTCCACCAGGCAGCTGACTACTGAGGCCCGAATGGCTGTGACTGGACTCTGAGTCCCAGCGCACGGGTAGGACAGAATGCCATGGAATCACACCTTGTCACTCTAATGCTCACTTAGAATGAGTCCCGGTGTGTCACACCCGTCTCACCTACGATGTGCTAGCTTCCTATACCATGCCTACACACAGGATGGAAGAAGAAATGCCATCAATCCCAAGGGCCGAGTGACAGAAGACACCAGATGCATGGTGTGGTCAGAAAGGTGTTGAGACTGGAGTGAGTCACTCTGGCCTGGTCTTGTCTTTCCCCAGCCACGCCATCCTACGGGCAGTGGTTCTCATTCCAGTTCCTTTGGTTTCCCCGGGAAGTCTGGCAGTGTCTGGAGACCTTTTGAAGGCTATAACTTTGGGCAGAGAGCAGTTGTCCTGGGATCTAGTGAATGGAGGTCAGGAGTATTGAACAACCTATAAGATATAAGGCAGCCCTCCCCTGCCCCATCACAACCCAACCACAAAGAATTACCTGGCCAATAGAACAGTTAAGAAAACCATGACAGGGTGAACAGCCTCTGTGAGATGGAGAACTCGGTTTACCTACACTGTCTCAAAAGAGCAAAAAAAAAAAAAAAAAAAAAGCTACCAGTAAGGGGAAGGGATGAGGGTTGTAACCTGTTAATTCAAATCTGTGGTCTGCTCTCATTCCTGCAAGAGACAATCCTTGAATGACACGGTTGGAAAGTCAGTACAAGCTATAATTTCCAGACCCTGCCCCCAACCACATTTCATCAGCTATATTCTCTGAACAGTCAAATTAGGTACTAACCCAGCTGTGCCCAGAGAGGGTTATATGGATGTGTTTTGGCCAGCATGTTCACCGACTGAGAGGTACGCTTCTCCGAGAAGGCTTTAATGGGAGGGTGATCCACAGGCATGACAGTTGGTACCCAGGCCAAGTGGTAAGTTAACACCGCAGTCAGTAAGGCAGCAAAGAACCTTGGAAAAACGGACAAAGGCACACCCAGATTAATCAAACACACGACAAGGCCATGTCCTGAGCGGAACACACACTGGCTCAGGGTCTGCCCAGAGTCTCCGTGGGGTTATGCTTACTGATTTTTGTTGACTTGCTCAATCAGAAGAATAAACTCCTTGAGAAAGCGCTGGCAGAGCTGGGTTTTCTCCAACGTGCTCGACATCATGGTAAGCCATACTGGTTCAGCTATCCTTGGAACAGAGTACAAGTTCCAGATAGTCCCTCTACAGGAAGAGAGAAGGGACAAACTGTCAAAGTTATTTTGGATACCTTAGTATCAAAGAATAAAGTTGAACATTGTAATTTGGATATAAGTACTCCTTAAGGAATTTAAAAGAAATTAACACAGGTTGGCAAGCTATGACTCACACAAATCTGATTTCTATCATTTTTGTACATAAAGTTTTATTGGAACACATAAATGGATGCTCATTTACTTACACATTATCTGTGAGTGCTTCTGCAGGACAATAGCAAAGTTGGGTAATGGTACAGAAACCCTTAAGAGAAAGGCGCACTCTCCCTAACATAAAAATATTCATTTAGCAATGTATGGGGATGGAGCTCAGTGATACAGCAGGTATCTATAATGCACATGGCTCTGGGCTTGATCCCAAGAACTATACACACAAAAAATTAAAAAGGTAAAAAAAAAAGATTCATAATGTCCTTCTCCCAGAATTTACAATCATCTTTAAAATTTATTTTTAAATCTATACATAAAAACCTATAGATACGCCGGGCGTTGGTGGCGCACGCCTTTAATCCCAGCACTTGGGAGGCAGAGGCAGGCGGATCTCTGTGAGTTCGAGGCCAGCCTGGTCTACAAGAGCTAGTTCCAGGACAGCCTCCAAAGCCACAGAGAAACCCTGTCTCGAAAAAACAACAACAAAAAATACACAGGACAGAGAAAGCACATGCTACACTGAAACCAGATTGCTGGTGACTCACGTCTACTGCTTTCTAGCTAATACACTGGCTTTCTAAATCAAGAGCCCAACTTGTTTTAGACAAAAGCGCACAAGGGCTCTTCTTCACTGTGGCATATGCCAACTCCTAATGCAGAAGCTTAGAGAGGTTGGGCAATGGGCACACGACATACACATTTAATGGCAAGGCGAGGGTGGGAATTCAGGTACGGCAGGCTCTGCCATATATAAGCCACATGGCTCACAAGTATGTTTCCAGAGTGTAAAAACTTACTCAGGCCCTCTGCTGTGTCAAAAATCAACCCAGTCCTGAATGAGTAACACAGACCTCTTCCAAATCAAGAGAGAAAGCAGCATATTTGGACTAGACTACGAAGTTGTGTGCCTAAAGGAATCAGGACAGAGCACAAATCTACCTTGGCAAGAACAGAAAACAAACAAACAAAAACTTCACACCTCAAAAGCTAGTAGTATTTACTGGGTTAAGAAGGTGTAACTCAGGGCTGGGTGGTAGTGGCGCACGCCTTTAATCCCAGCGCTAGGGAGGCAGAGGCAGGCACATCTCTATGAGTTCGAGGCCAGCCTGATCCTACATTGTGAGTTTCAGGACAGACAGAAATACATAGTGAGAACCTAACTAAAAAACAAAACAAAACAAAAACAAACAAGCAACTCTAAATATTAGTACATTATTTTGTCTGTTTCTGGAGGGCTCACTGTAAAATAAGTACAAGACTCTTCAGTGTACACAACCTCTGATTTTTTATTTTCAGGTTTTACCCCTAAAGTTTAGTGTTTTGATTAGATTGGCATCCAGACCCTCCATCACAAGCCAGCTTTGAGTGTGACCACAGCGAAGCCATATACAAACCTATTACTGTCCCTCCAAGGAGACAGCTTACTCATCATCTTCATGGCATTTCTCAAAATGAAACAACCTAGACAGTTTTTCTATAAACAGAGTTCAGAAAATGTGGTAATTTTTCTTCAAGCAGCACTGAGCTCACCAGCAAAAAAATGGTCTAACATTCTAGAAAATATAAATTTTTTTTTAACCCTCATCTCTACGGCTCATTTTACTCATTAATGGTTTTGCAGTAAGACCACATTCCCCATTGAGAGACTGACTGAGAAACTCAGATAAACACAGTGGAAGAAATCCTACACCTGGAGCAGACTACCTTGCTATCCATACTCTGGGCACAGGGGCTAAAGGAAACCAGTGTCCACAGATGATTAGTGGAGGCAGAGGTCAGTTAGAAACTGCTTACAGAGTCAGAGAAAGGGGGCCAGAAGATTCACTATTGGACCAGGGCACGGACCATAGGCACCTCATGTGCCCTAACTCTGCCCTGGCAGATGAGAGTCAGGTCTCCACGACATGCACACATTTTCTCCATGAGCTCTAGGGACAAGCAGCATTCCTGAACCCAAGTTTCAACATCTGTAAAAAGGGTTTGTACAAAGGCTTTGCCTTCACGTTTATGAGATAACAGACATAAGATTATGGAACTGACTTACAAGACATCCTTTAAAACTAGTTTTCAGTCCATTCTGATGAAAACAAGCCCATTAATCCAGGCATGGTAATGCATGCCTGAATCACAGCACACAGGAGACAGAGGCAGGTGGATCTCTATGAGTTTGAAGCCAGCTCAGTCTAGTAGGCAGTTCTAGGCCGGCCAGGACTACACTGTGAGGCCATATGTAAAAATAAACACAAGTCACAACAACAACCCCCCCCCCAATACAACAAGCAAGAAAAACTAATCCCACTAAGAACTGTCAGGCACAGTGAAGATTCCCCGGTGCTGTGTTACTCAATGTTTGGCTTTACTTAATCTGTCCTCATGGGTAGAGGCACTAAAATGACTAAAAATTGCCAGTCCCCTAATTCTTCTAAGAGATAGCCTCATGACAGCTGGCAATACTACTGCTCCTAGTTTCCTGCTGGATTTTCAAAGCTTGAACTCTACCTGAATTCTCCCAACGCTTCCATCAGACGGCTCACATAAAACTGGACACGGAGACTCGATTCTGCTATCTTCCTACAGGAGATCATGGCCTTCATGGGAGAGAGGGAGGCAAATTACTCTGAGAAGAAATCCCTTTATAACTGATCTGCTGGGGCTCGTTAACGAACAATGATGTTATAATAAATTTAAAACACCCACAGGAACGACGCTTCCCCTCACCAAGCAGAAGTGACTTCCTTCCCTGCAGCAACCAATGTCTGGTCTCCAGCCTTAAAAATCCTAAGGATCATCACTCCAGGGCATGTTCTGACTTCCTTATGCAGGCCATCTGACACACACATACATGTGCCATCTTTGGCTACAAATCTCTCCCCTGTTTGTCAGTAGGCTGCAATCTTACTACCTTTCATTTTCTAATTTAAGTGTTTGCTCAGAATGGATTTCACAGCCTCGCAAACACTGTAATTGCTCTACCTCTGAGCTGCGCCACTTCCCTCAGCTCTGCCCCTGAGCTGTGCCCTATCCTGTCCCTCACACACACTGTAAGCGCTCTGCCCCTGAGCCGCGCCCTTCCCTCAGCTCTGCCCCTGAGCCGCGCCCTTCCCTCAGCTCTGCCCCTGAGCCGCGCCCATCCCTCACACACTGTAAGCTCTCTACCCCTGAGCTGTACCCTATCCTGTCCCTCACACACACTGTAAGCGCTCTACCCCCGAGCTGCGCCCCGTCCCTTACCTTTTCAATGGCACTCTTCAGCCTGTTCATGTGAGATTCGAACAGGGGGAAATGGGAGAAAAAGAAGTCCTGGAAGTTCTGCTGTGCTGCCTCTCTCTCACACAAGGAAAAGATGATGCTGATGGCAATTTTCTTCCTTCTAACCATGGCTGGGTTAGAACTACAGGTTTCGTCAGCCAAGCTAAATGTCTCATCAGTTGACCTGAAAATTAAGTTTGAAAAGTGGCCACGTGTCAGTGAGTCCCCGAGGGTATGCTGTCTTGCCATGTGATGGCACTCAGGAAGCCAATGCAGAGGACTGAGGACTCAGCTGGTCACTCATCTACACAGATGCGTTGTCTTCTCACTCCTTTGTCATGAGAACCGGGGGTATGTCAGCTTACCATCAAAAGAAGTTCAAATGGAAGCCAATGGCAGCTGAGACGGTTTAAGTCTCATCCTTTCGACTGTATTTAGCTGGAGCGTGAGATACCAGTTCGATCAAAGCACAGGTTCTAGCTAGAGAGATGTTCGGGGCATGCGAGTGCTGGTTGTGCAGGCCTGAGGACCCGAGTTCCACCTGAAAGTCATAGAAGCTGGATGTGGCAGCACACACCAGCAATCCCAGCACGCCCGCTGTGAGATGGGAAGCAGGCACAGAAGACATGGTGGTGGGGCTCTCACAGGCCTATTGGCCTAGAACATGACGGACGCATGGAAGAAGCCAGAGAAGCCGCCTCGACCAGGTGGGAGGCAACAGGCGGCTCCCGAAAGCTGTCCGCTGACGTCACATGCTCTCTGGCACAGGCACACTTAGAGTATAAAATAACAGCGCAATAGGCCCTTGGTTTTTGGTGATGGGTAAGAGTGGATCAAAGACTGAGAAGACCAGTCCTGTGGAGTATTCTCTTTACACAGACATCAAGCTCCAACACTCACTAGCACCTTCCGCAAGGCTATAAAACCAGCAGATGAAGTTACTCCTCTAAATGCTCTGAGGAAGCCAAGTGATTAACCAACTGAGCACTCTGGGAAATCCACTAAGCAGAAAGGCTCAACTCTCTTCAGTTATAGTTAAGTTCTCAAAGAAGTTATGATCCTTTTGAGAGACTGCCTCTGTAATAAAAGAACTACAGAGCCGATAAATTCCTAATAAACATCCAATTTGTCTTAGGGATAATGCAATTATGGTTTAACCACAACTCTTATTTAAGTACTGTGAAAGCCAGCAGAGCTACCACACAAGAGTGAAAACAAGTTTGTTCTCCTACAAAAAGGCACCAAGGAAAAGGCCAGAGTCTACCGCAAACGAGTGTCGCTAGCCTGCCACACGACAGCATGCAACACGTGTCCTGTCACCGCCTATACCACCTTTTGCGGGCTCTGCACACAATCTAGAATATCCTGTAAGTTTTACACTGTCTAGATTTTACTAACAGTCGCACATCTGATGCTGCATGGCTAAAGCTCTGTTTAAAAGGGGAAAAAGCACCTTGCTCTCAGCTCTGAGGGATGCGTGTCTGCTTTTCTCGACATCCCTCAGATGGCAGCCCCTGATCTCTAGGTGTCTTGTAAATGTACCAAGTATCCAGCAAGCTACCCGCTCTTCTGAGAAACACTAGATCCCAACCACCAGAAAAGGCTCCAAGAATCACTCCGAATGTCACACAGTTTCACACAGGAAGTCTTTCTACTGTAAGTTTGTTTCTCTGCACTAGCTTATTTGGTCTGCATACAAAAAAAAAAATCTATCCAGGTGTGGTAGTACACATCTGTAATCTCATCCCAAGAGGCTGAGATAGACTGAGAGGGTAAGTTTTAACTCAAGTTCAAGGACAGATTGGGATAGTGAGACCCTGTTTAAAAAACACAGCAACAAAATATTCTTCTCAGCTACACTGCAAAGCTTCCCTCTTTGCTGAATGTTCTAAGACTCTTCTTTCCCAAAAGTAAACCGTTTGTATCATTTCACTCCATTCTAAGCCAAGGTGGTCTTTAGCAGTCCAACTGTGATCAACACTGGGCTCTATTTTATTCTTCTTCTCCATCTCCTCTACACAATGGTCATCTCAGCTGTCAGTTTAAGCACAGCAGAGAGTGCCACCTGCTGAACTGCTCTGAAACCTTCCTCACTGAACAGAAACTGGGTCTTACCCAAAACCGTGTATCTCTACTAAAGTCTAAAGGCACCGAGCTTCGGTCTGTATCCTGGATCAACTATCCAAACTGGAACAAACCAGGTCACAGAGAATTATCTTCTGAGTATGGTTCCACAATAAAGGGTGCTTGAGAATGTGCCAATGAACCGATTATGTAACCAGACACTTTTCATACCCTCTCCGTAGGACACCAGGTAAGCTGCACACGCTGTTTTATAAATACAGAAACAAGCAGTGCTTGCCTGGGGAACAGGATAGCTGTCACTGCCATGCTGGGCTGCAGGGTATCAGCAGTAACCAGACGTCCCCAGCCTGACCCGCCAGCTCCAGCTCATGCTGTCGCATGCCCTGTGATGGCTGCAGCGCCACAGGGGAGACCTGCAAGCACAGATCAGCCAGCATGCCCCAGGACACGGAAACCCATGGCTCCACACGTCGCTCTCTTCCACACAGAGAAATCGAGCAGAGGAGGCATGGTGGTCCATACTTTTAACCCCAGCACACGTGAGCAAGGCAGGAGGACCACTGAGTTACTGTGGGCTGCACAGCTAGACCCTACTTCACAAAAAAAAATTCAAATTGTGTTTTGTTACACTTAAGAATATATTTATATAAGTACTTACTTCAAAATCATAATTATTTAAAAACTATCATCATTTTAATACATATAGAAAAACTATAATGGATATCAGGACTGCTTAGCACAGTTATTGTCGAGGTCAGATTTGAACTGACATTGCACCTACGAAACATAATATGCTAAGTCTAAGAACATCCCACTGGAAACTTCCTTCAATTTACTAGTCAAAAGGCTTCTGAGGGGCATGTCTCCATGTCTGGCTCCTTTGGGATTTGGGTGGCTTTTCCTAAGGTATAAAATGCCCAAGCCTCCTCTATCCTCACAGATAGCAGAGCTCTTACCAGCTACAGGATGTGTAACACCCCCACCTAGGTGCCTAATACCACAGGCTTGCCATCTAACCCAATGAGTACAGCCAGCCTAAACGTAGTCACTATACCATGTCTAACAACCTGGAACTCTTAGGATAGACTTTTGATTTATTTATCTTAAAATTAAATTTTGCTTTTTTTCTTTAATATGGTCATATAGCCCTGGCTTACATAAAACTTGTACAGAATGCCCTTGAAGTCACAGAAATCTACCTGTCTCTGCCCCCTGAGTGCAAGAATTAACAGTGTGCACCACCATGCAGGGTAGCGGATTTTTTTTTAATTACTGTGTACTTCCTCTCAGAGCAGAAGCAGTGAGAGCTCCTCATGTCACTGTTTCCAGCATAAAAAGCAATCACTCAGCCAAGAGTGGTGGTGTGTACCTGTAACCCCAACATGCAGGTTCCAGGGCTGCAGAGTGGGGATGGCAGAGAGGGAGGAAACTCCTGAAAGGGAGTAACCAGCAGCAGAGGAAGCAAGTTACTGTACCCTCAACAGCATCTTCCTCCACAACAGGCCGAGATCTACAACCTAATCACTGTTTTCCCTTCCAGGATAGTCACAATAGCAGAGTGCAATATAAATGCTTAGAAAAAAAAAAAATCTTACAATGAATCAGGATACTGTTTTCTACCATACTAAATTATGACACAAAATGTTACTTTTATAATTCATAGTTTTGTTACTTATTATATGCCACTATTATATTTTAAGTTAAATATATAAAACATGAGCTTTGCTTTCTAGTACCTTTACTAGCATTCTTCTTGCCTTATGAAGTAGGGCCTGGAATTTTTGCTTTGCCCTGGTCCCTTAAACTGTGTAGCCAGTCCTGACTGTGTGACTAGGCTTTCTGAAGGTAAGACGGATCTAGGTGGAGGCCCACTGACTACCCACAGTTCTCCCTTCAGTTTGTCTTCAGGGCTCAAAGGGCCAGGTGTGGAAATGCTACAGATAGCTCCAGACATGGATCTGAAGGGATGAAAAGAGTTTACAGTGAGGAGGAGTCTTTATGGGTGGTCTTCTGCATCCATCTCTTTCCACCAGAGGCTGCAGAGTGTCAGTGACCATGGAAATGGTACCAACTTGACAGTTGATACCAACAAGTCACACTGGCCAATATTTTATCTGCATTAAAAAAATTATGTCAGGCATGGTGGCACATGCCTTTAATCCCAGCATTTGAGAGGCATAGACAGGTGGATCTATGCTGAGTCTTGAGGGCAGCGTGGTCTGCATAGTGGGTTCCGGGATAGCCAGGGCTATATAGCAACCATGTCTCAAAGAAAAATATCATTTTTATTTTGTATGTGTATATTGTTTGTGTAATGTGCCAGGCATCCATTTGGAAGTCAAAAGAGAATTTCCAGGAATTTTGTTCTCTTCTTCCACTGTGTAAGTCCTGGGGATCAAACTTGGGTCAGTAATCTTAGTCGCTGATGCCTTAACCACAGAGTCCAAGTTCTGCTTTGTTGAGACAAGGTCTCTCTGTGTAGCCCAGGCTGTACCTGGACACAGGCTTGCACAATGTCAACCTCCAAGTGCTAGGATTATAGGTGTGCACCACCAGTGTTACGTTTTCTGACATATACTAAGTATGGTCTGACTGGTTGACTTGGACACAGGCTTGCACAGTGTCAACCTCCAAGTGCTAGGATTATAGGTGTGCACCACCAGTGTTACGTTTTCTGACATATACTAAGTATTGTCTGACTGGTTGACTTGGACACAGGCTTGCACAGTGTCAACCTCCAAGTGCTAGGATTATAGGCGTGCACCACCAGTGTTACGTTTTCTGATATATACTAAGTATTGTCTGACCCGTTGACTTGCTTATCTGGTTTCACCTTCCTAACACCACTGAGGCTGAACCCACTACTAACCTAATGCACACAAGGAAGAAACACCTGCGACCTAGTCACTATGTTCCAGCACATGCCTGACACAAGGCTCCTCACCAGCCTCCAGGAGTACACACCATGCTTCTTCCCCCAGAGCTCCAATGTACTTCACACCTTCACGGTGCTGATCATGTATGCATCTTTCTCGACACCTGTCTACTGTCATCTTCCCTACTGATTGGTCATAAACTACAAGACAAGCGCAGGGCGGAGCCATCCTCGGATTCTCAAAACATATGCTCAATTCTCTTAAGTGAAAATTTTAGTGACATTCGAAAATTCCCTTTAAATTTTTAGAGCCTAGTGTAGCTATTGGTATAGCATCAAATCTATACTTTGGACACAACTAAATAAACTTCAGATTCAAAAACAAACTGAAACATAGGTAGGAAATACCTTGAGGCTATCTCTATATATACTCATATTAATGCCTGCTTAGTCTAAGAATTTAAGTCCCACAAAGGGACTATGCATCAAATACCACATTGGAATCATTGTGACCAGGGAAAGAGATTTGTCCCATCCTTTATTACTTATAGCTACGTATGGAAGGAATAAGCATGAAGAGAACACACTCACTTGAAATTACCATCAAATCTAACACACATACATTGTGTAGCTATCTGGGCATTTCCAGTATCTTCTAAATAAAAAGATGTTTTTTCAGTTGGGCATAGTGTCAGCATACTCATAATCCTAACACTTAGCAAACAGAAGCAAAGCATGGTGAGTTTGAACCCTGTCTGGGCTACATGTTGTATTTCAGGCCAACCTGCCTAGCCTTAACTTACTACTGCCTTAACGACTGAACTTGTAAACTTCCAGGCTAAGCTGGAGCTAATCGCAGGGTTTCAGGTCATCTCCTGACAACAGCAAGGAGAGCCCTGCCAGCTTTCGTAAGTTGTTTACATGAGCACTTTCCTTAGCCAGAGGAAACACGTAACTCACCTTCTTGGAAAGATGCCATTTTCCAAACTCGTTGTCTGACTGCGAAGCCAACGGCGCTGATAGCTGCTGGAAGAGGACGTAGAGGAGCTTGGAGATGGGAAGGGTGTGATCAAAAGGCTGCTCAGAGAAGCTGCAAGGAAGCACATTTCAAATGTCAGAGTCCCAGCTCACGTTCTTATAATGCCCACTACAATTACGCTCAGTACCGTGAGCTATACTTTTACAGTGGATTCCAGAGGCTTACTCAGAGCCCGTGCAGAAAGCTAGGCTTGCCAGCGTGCACTTATAATCCTGGCGCTGGGAGGGAGAGAGAGGAGAACCTCTGAGGCTCACTGGCCAGTCATCCTAGCCAAACCAGAGGCCCACCTCATGGGAAAAGACCCCATCTCAGAAAGCAAATGCACCCAAGGTGGACTCTGACAGAAACTCACACAGCACATATGTGTACATCTGTATAGCATGTTCACTGTGCTCCCAAACACACACATGAATGCATAAATAATAAATAAATAAATAATAGATTCTATGCCAGGCATGGTGGTAAAATCCTATAACTTCAGTATTAGAGATGCAGAGATAGGAAGATCTTGAGGTCTAGGCCAGCTTCACTATGTAATTTCAAGGTGTAGGCTAGCCTGAGCTATATAACCTCCCTAGTCATCCCCCAGAAGGAGTTTAAGATGACAAATTTACATGTAATGTGTATTTCAACACCGTAAACACACACACATACTTAAGCTAAAAATTTGGATTCTACCAATCATATCCAGCAGGGGGAGACTAAAATTTCTGTCTTCCAAAATTTTCTATATAGGAGGGGAAAAAATCACACACATAATTTTTTGACACAGTATCTGTTGCTCTGCAGTCTAAGTTGTCCTTGAACTCCTAATCCTCCTGTCTCAACCTCCCCAGGGTTGGGATTACAGATGCACATCCCCACACTTTAAAAAGGACGTAAGAATGCTAGCCTACACACACCCAGCCATCTTCTATTCTTGGCCACATGGATTCCTAATCCACGTTCCACCAACCCTATCAGTGCACACACGATCAGGCTTTACACTACAAAGGAAAACGGAATTATTGTTCCTTCCGTTGGAGTACGCACTCAGGACTTCTAAGAATACAGCCCATGTATAGAACTTAATCAACATCCCATTACAAAAAGCTAGCTTACATTTCGTACTGGCTGGTTTTGTGTGTAAACCTGGCACAAGTTAGAGTCACAGAGACGAAGGCGCCTCAGCTGAGGTAATGCCTCCATGAGACCCAGCTGTAAAGCATCTTCTCATTTAGTGATCAGTGAGGGGGCGCCCAGCCCATGGCGGGTAGTGCCATCCCTGAGCTGTTGGTCCTGGGTTCTATAAGAAGGTGGGTTGAGCAAACCAGGCGGAGCAAGCCAGCAAGCAGCATTCCTCCATGGCCTCTGCATCAGCTCCTGTGTCCAGGTTCCTGCCCTGTTTGAGTTCTTGTCCTGACTTCCTTCAGCAACAAACAATGCTGAAGTGTAACCCTAGTAAACCCTTGCCTCCACAACTTACTTTCTGTTGCAGCAATAGGAACCCTAGCTAAGACACATGTCTTTCTTCCTTTTGCCTATTTCTTCACTCTCTATTTGGAGGTAAAATTTACGCAAAGTAACCAATTCATCCATATAAGATATGAGATTCCTCTCTGTCTGTCTCCCTCCCTCTCCTGTCTGTCTGTCTGTCTCTCCCTCTCTCTCCCTCTCCCTCCCTCTCCCTTTCTCCCTCCCTCCCTCCTCTCTCTCTCTCTCTCTCTCTCTCTCTCTCTCTCTCTCTCTCTCTCTCTCTCTCTCTTCCTCCCTCCCTCTCCCTCTGGCTGTCCTGAAACCACTATATAGATCAGGGCAGCCTCAAACTCACAGAGATCTACACGCCTCTGACTCTCATTTTCAAATACAGAAAACTCTTACCTTTCTCTAGCTCCTTTTCGTCCCCATGTCTGAACAAACTATTTCTAGTCTTAAATATTTTTTTTGTATAGCCTACACTTGCAGTAAATGATTTTGAACTATAGCAACTATTCTGAAAATAAATTACTAGGCTTGGTGGTTTGAGTTAGAAATGAGCCCCCATAGACTCATATTTGAATGCTTGGCACTCTGTGGAACTGTTTGGGAAGTTTGGGCCTTGGAGGAGGTGTGTCACTGGGGGGGTCGGCTTTGAGGTTTAAACACCACACTAGCCTGCCCCCCACCCCCCACCCCTTGCCTACTGCCTGCGGATCAGGATATAAAGCACCCTGCCTGCCTGCCACCACGCTCCCTGCCATGATGACCCTCTGAAACAGTAAGCAAGACGCCAATTAAATGCTTCTCTTATAAGCTATTTGGTCATGGTGTCTCTTCACAGCAATAGAACATTAACTAAGATGCTAGGGTTTTAAGTAATGGATGACAGAAGTAAATTCTTTACTCTCTGGTCAGAGAAAATCTTATGGTACTCAGTTAAAATGCCACCAAGAGGCTCAAGGCTCAAATCAGCTGCCTGTTCTACATGAAGAAAACTGAAGAATGTTACTAAATGTGTAGAATATTATCTTAAGGTGTGTGACTTTTGTTTATGCTGCATTTATTTAACTCGGTGAAGCTGTGGTTCTTTGCTTGTCTAAATCACCTGATATTCTAACAGCCAATAGCAAGGCAGGAGTTATGGCTAGGCGGTGCTGACAGGCAGAGAGTATACCCAGAAGAAGAAACAAAGAAAAGCAGCAAGAGAGCATGGAGAGGAGGATGCAGTGGCCAGCCACCAAGCCACCCCATCATCAGCCATGAGCCACCAAGCCACCCCATCAGCCATGGGCCACCAAGCCACCCATCAGCCATGGGCAAAGAGTAAAGTAAGATTTACAAAAGAGAAGGATAAAGGCCCAGAGGCAAAAAAGCAGATGGGATAATTTAAGAAAAGCTGACAGGAAACAAACCAAGCTAAGGCTGGGTGTTCATAACTAAGAATAATTTATTGTGATTTTATTTGGGAGCTGGGTGGCAGGTCCCACAAAGGAGCCAAAAAGACCCCCAAAATAATATCATAATAATATCATAATAATAATAATAATAATAATAATAATAAACCACTACTGGAGAAGTGGCTCAGCAGCTAAGAGTGCCTCCTGCCACTGAGGGTGGATGGTGCTGACAAGCCCTACCTTCTGCAGCCACCCAAACATACTGATCTGAGAGACACTGCGGGTTCACACGCCCACTCCAAGTCAACCTGCAGGGTCCCAGCCTGTCCACTCCTGGACACCTTCCAGCCTCACTCATCAGAACTTTGTCTCACCCACAACTCTGCAAAACCTGTTCCCGCCACAGTCCTCAGTACCAAAAGTACTGTTTGCTCTGCACTCACGGAGCGGGGCCCCTCCGGCATGTTAAGTCTCAACTGCAGTCTTCCCTTCTCAAGCCTTCCCCTGCACACCCGGATAGTTTCTTCCCCTCAGTGATAAGCTGTGCTGTAGCAAACACTTAAGTTTTTCTCTCTGACATGGGGTCAACTTCCTGAATACAATAATAATCTATTTATTCAAGTAATACTGACAGTTCTTCAAAGGTTTTGCTCCCTTAGACACTTGGAAAGCTATCAGGTTCCTTAAAATTTAGTATGTACTTATTTTAAAACACAGTAAAGTGACAGCAATTAAAAAGCTAGTAAGTGCCGGGCGTTGGTGGCGCACGCCTTTAATCCCAGCACTCGGGAGGCAGAGGCAGGCGGATCTCTGTGAGTTCGAGACCAGCCTGGACTACCAAGTGAGTTCCAGGACAGCCTCCAAAGCCACAGAGAAACCCTGTCTCGAAAAACAAAAAAAACAAAACAAAACAAAACAAAAAGCTAGTAAGTTATCTAACAGAAAGTTAATTTTTAAAAAAGCAAACTTAATAAAATTTATAGGCAATACATTTTTAGCTCCTAAACCACAAAATAAGATTCTAGAAGGTCCCCTAAGCTGCACTTGGTGTCACAGGCCTACAACTCCAGCTACTCAGGAGCCTGGGCTATTACAGAGATGAGTCCATGCCCTGCCAGTCTCCTCAAGGAGAAGGGGGCTGGAGATACACTTTAGCAGCACAAAAGTTGCCCAGTCTGGGCAAGGCCTGCATCACTGGCAAACCAGTGAAGTCTTCAAAAGCACCATGTAAGTTTTAACAGTCCCAGAAAAAGCCCTGGAATAAAAATAACACCTTTCAAAACATCTCAAAGTTTCTGAAGTTGCTAGGACATAAAACTCAGGACCAGCTTTACTGACAACTCTTGTACTCCAAACTGATGTCCCACGTTGAAGCAGGACAGACAGACAGGGAAACGTATGTGGACATAGGAAAGGGAGGAGACTCTTGCCAGCTGAGCATCAAGAATTCCAGCACAAACCTGGGGTGTTGGTGCACGCCTTTAATCCCGGCACTTGGGAGACAGAGCGATCTCTGTTAGTGGTTTACAGAGTGACATTTGCTTAAGGACTTTCTCCTTTCCCAATGGTAAACTGCAGTTTCTAATCTGACCAGGAAGGTCCTCGATGGTAAAAGGATATGCCCAACCTTGTACAACCCTAGTGGCTCCTGGTGACATAACGTGATAGCAATCTAAATGTCACATACAGCTGAAACGCGTGACTCCCCGTTGAGGTCGCTGCCACACAGAGGTCTTACTTTCTCCCCAGGTTCTCCTTTCTCTCTCTCAACCCTTGTGCTTAAAACCGCTACTAAGAATATCTTCTATAAGCTCCAACTCTTGCTTCATAGTGGCTCGCTCTGTAATTCTTTTCTGTGTTGAAGCCACAAATTCTGGGTTTGCCCGAGTCAAGGTCCCTAAAAGGATTATGGGAACTCCCCAGGCTGCCATGGGTTACAGTATGGAGCGGGGGGGGGGCCCTGTCCCTGCCACCACCAACAGAGTTATTCAACAGCTGAATATCGTTATCCACAGGCTGGGCTCTAAGAATGAAGAGTCTATAAAAGCTACAAAAATTCTAAAGCTGGCCCTTTCTTTTTCCATATAAATAAAACTTACTGAGTCTGGCTTTTGTGTGATATTTTCATTCAAATTACACTGGATCTATGGATTGATTTGTAGACCTTGTTAAGAAGGATTTTTTTGTTTTTGTTTTTCGAGACAGGGTTTCCCTGTGTAACAGCCTTAGCAGTCCTGGAATGAGCTCGAACTTAAGGTTTTAGTAAAGTTCTAATGTTTCCTGTTATTTCTAGATCCCTTACAGTTTGGCTGCTACATTACTTTTTAATGTTCTATTTTTTTTCTCTTAAATACGCATTTAAGAACACAAGTTAACAAAGGGCAAGGCTAAATGAGGGTAGGAAGCTCGACTGGTAAAGTGCTGCTCTCGCAAGATGCAAGCCTGGAGACCTGAGTTCAAGTCCGGCGCCTGCGTAAAAGGCCATGCAGTGCCCTTACAATTCCAGCACGGGAAGTGGAGACCAGCAGGTCTCGGGGGCTTGACGGCCATGTAGCCCAGCCTACTCAGTGAGTGCTAGCAAAATGCAAAAACACCCCTAAACAATAAGGTTTATGGTTCCCCATCCCTGCCCACTGCAAGCTCCAGTCAGTCCCGCCCACACGGGTCACAGGACAGAGACTGAGACCCAAGATGCTATGCTTGCTTGTTAATGCGCACAGAGGCTTTGCGCAGCAGTGGAACTCAAAAGCTCAGTACCCAGGGACCCACAAAGAAGGATGAAACCATCCTGAGCAACATTACGTATGAACAAATGTAGTTCACTTACTAAGGGCGTTTTATTTTCTTGTTTTGTTTTTTGAGACAGGGTCTCAGTATGTAATCCTGGATGGTCTCCAAGTCACAGAGAGCTACCAGCCACTGCCTCCAGAGTACCAGGATTAAAGGTGCTGTGTGCCACCACACACAACTACATATGATCTTGCATCTTTTCAGATTCTGCTGGCACTCAGTGAAACGGCACAGGTTTACTCAATGAAGTCACATTTCCGATCAAAGGCCTCAAAAGCACAACTTCACAGAAATGATGGGGGAAAAACAAAATGAATCCATTTTAACCATAAATAAAATCCTTTCACTTCAAAACACATATGTAAACCAGACGGGGAAATCCAGCACCTGTTATTTCATTGGGGACTGGGAGAACAGAACTGAACAGGTGAGGGGTAAAGGAGTCAGTATTCACCCAGAAGAACACAGGGCTTTATAGAGACAGAATCTGGGAGCCACAGCGCGTGATAAATGGATGGAAAAGATAGGAGGGAAGATACCAAGACCTGAGTCTAGTGTCACTCAGTTGATGGCCCCTGGCAAAGGAGTGTCATGTCACAGAACAAACCAGTAGGACTTCCCTGGATCTCCCTGGGAGGCTGCCTGTAAGCCTCCTGGTCCTTGAATCATGGAACAAACCTCAGATCTGAACCACACATTTAAAATCAAGAACTGACGTGTATAAGAAAGGGTATTGGGCAAGGTTAGGGCTCCAAGGGAGCAGAAAAGGGTACTGAGACATATTTCAGATCAGCATCACAGGACAGAAAGGGTAGGCAAGCCAGCTGGCGGCACCTCCCACTGTCATAGGCAGACTGACCACGGCAGGCCTATTCTGTCCCCACTGAGCAGACAGCAAGCAAATTCCTAGTACACCTGGCACAGTGGCTTCCCGCTGGGAGAGGTTTGAGTATTAGATAAAACTAGTTTGTGTGCACCATCATTCGTAGATGCCGAACATCAAAGTTCCACAGCCTCGGGCACGTGAGACTTAGAAGTCAGAGAAGAGAAAGAAAAGAGAGGGAGGGAGGGAGGAAGGGAGGGAGGGAGGGAGGGAGGGGGAACAGAAGGCAGGGGCTACGTTTCTGTTTCCTGCTTCCCATCACGGAGAGCCTACCGCCTTCCGTCACGGAGAGCCTACCGCCGCATTACTCGAGCCAGTAAAGGAGGTACCTGAGCGAGCGATGCCACTGTCCCTGTCTTCACTCTGCCCTCTGCTTGGCATATCGACCGGCGTGCTGTGTGCTGAGACAGACAAGAAAAACATCATCAGGCTCTGCGAAGACGACATTCCCAAAATGACCTCATGCAATCTTTAAGATTTCAAAAAGGAGCCTACTGCTATTGAGGAGGGGCCTAATACACGACAGAGGTTAACTAGGTAGCGAGTTAAATACATAAAAAGGTAGCAAGAAATGAAGAAACAAAACCAACAGGCCATTGCCCTTATGCTGGGTCCTGTAGACATGTACAACAACCCATCCATGCAGTTAATACCATCAGCATTCTAGTGTAGCCATTTCTTCTTTATTTATGGTATTTAAACAGCACAATATTTTCAGAATGCTTTATTATTAGTTTCAGTAACAGCTGTAGGCAGCTTAGGAAGAGAAATAGTCAGAAATCGCTTTACAAATCTAGAAATGTTTATTTATAACCTACTCTTTCAGCAGGCAGAAAACATTAATTTTCTAACAGTTTTTTCCTCTTGTTCTTTTTCCCATACATGGTATTATAATAGCTATTCAGAAGAACTCATCCTGGCATAAATTGGAAAACACTCTTAAATAGCATATGTGTCTAGAAGGCTTCAGGCTGACTGAGCTGCAGATTTACTGGGCTGAATGGTAAGGGTGTTCTCGTAAATTTTACAACAAACATTAAGTCACTGTTGTGGCTGAATATCATACCTGCTAGCATTTTTTGGAAACATGTTTAGGTCCCAAGTTTTAAAGGCGCTATAAAGACATGCTATCCTTGGTCTAAGTAGCTGGGACAGCAGAGCCGTTTCAATTAGGCATCAGAAAACTATGATGGGTAGTATATTTCAGGGTATCAAAAGGAACAGAATGGAAAATCCCATTCCTCACAACTTTAACTTAGTCATGAAGATTGCTCGCACTTGCTAATCACGCTACAACAGACATTGAAAACCTCCGTTGGCAAGGCCAGTTACATCTCAGAAAGTACCCAGGATACCAAGGTGAGAGAGACCTGATTGTACCCTCCCGTGCTCCTACTAGAGTGACTTAGAAACTCCATGCAGGGAAGGGTGCAGGGAAGTTAACGGATAAAAGATGGCACGGCAAAGAGAGCCAGATGACAGCAGCAGAGGCAGCCTAGGGAAATCAGAAGAAATTAATTCTCCTAGAAACACGAAGGGCTCCTTTAAGGTCAAAGCCAGCTCGCATCTGGACCACTAACAAAAACATTCCACAACAGAGGTTGTTCAGGGATGGACAACTCTGGCCGCATTGGAAACTGGCATCTCCCGCCACAAAAGCCCTTTGGGTTTCTAAAGAAGAATACGTGGATTTTTTTTTTCTGCACAGGCGTTACGATGTGTGGGGGCCACAGCGTGCTCAGCATTCCACACAAACCTGAAAAGAAGGAGGCACTGCGGGTGAGCCGGAGCGCTCCTCCTTCGGACAGCCCCTGCAGCAGTCTCCCGCTGCACGCCTGCAGCAGACCTAGGGCAGAGCACAGAGGACGCAGGGCACACACGCAAAAACACCAGTTAAAGAACGCAGAACGCAACAAACTCAAATGAAGCAAACCGCGCCCCCGACAGCAGCACACGGGGACCTTCTGCTGAGCGGCTCGGTTTACCTAGGTTACTTGCAGTGCGGCAAGGGCCCAAACTGTTCTGATTGGTGTTCAGCTTTCCAGCCTGAGGATCTTGGTTGATGTATTCAAAGCTGTCCTGCAGGCTAAACCAAGAGGAGAATGGAGAGGAGGGGTGAGACCATCAAGAGATTAACAAAAGTTTTTAAATAGGTTCCTAACTACAGTCAACAACTGATCAGTCACTCGGAATTTCCCTTTGTAAATAAAGTTTCACGTCTACCAAGGGGAGTGAAGATGGTAGGTTGGGAGGAATTTGTTGGAGGAAAACAAAACACGTTTTGGAAGTGGCCAGTCCACAGGACTACCTGCACAACTGCATTCATAACCACGTCATAATCTGAAGTGAAACTCCAACTGTACTTGAGTAACTGACACCTTCCGCACTGCTCTTCATCTTTAAATTCTGTCTTAGACAATAATACCTGCGAAGCTACTATTCACCTCAAGGGTTTTCTTTTTTTGTTCCTCCACCCTAAGCATTTTCAATAAACACACAAAATGAAATAATTCAAATCCTGGTTAATATCTATTAATGATTTAGCAACTTGGTTCAGAGGGAAGGCATCAGAAATTAGGATTCACCTTAAGAAAATTAGAATTATTCATAAAAATGAGTGGAGAAAAAATTTTAAGTACGTTATATTAGCAAGATAACACGGTACAATAAAACTAAAACAATTTTTTACTTAAGTCTGAGTTCAACATTTTATTGTAGTTAGTGGGGAAAACAAAAATTTTAGGTTATTCCAAAGACTTGAAAAAAAACTCATAAAAACAAGTGTCACCCAGGTATGGCGGTGCATGCCTATGATCCCAGCATTCACAAAGTAGAGGCAAATGGACGTTGAGTTCCATGCCAGCCTGGGCTACAGCTACACAGATCATGTCTGAACAGCTCCCACCACCAGAATAAGAAATAAACACCAAGTCCCATATGAGCTTAAGTAGCAGTGTTCCAAAGGAAAGTGTTCAAACTATCTTGTTGAAAAGTAAGCAAAAAGTTACTCAGTGGTACCAAAATATGCAGTGGAGTATATATTTGACTTTCTAGACTTATCAGGAAAAACTGCCTTCGTTTTGTCACTAATCATGCCCCTTAATTGATGCCCTGTGAGATCTGCATTAAAAGTGTAACAAGTCAGCTATTTCATTAAAAAATGTAAACTGAGCATGGTAGCTCCTGTCTGTAATCCCAGCACTCAGGGGCTGAGGAAGAAGAGCCACGGGTTCAAGGTCATCATGGGCTGCATAGTGAGTTTTGGCCATTCTGAGCCACACAGAGTTCTAGGCTAGTTTGACTATATAATGAGTTCAAGGCAGAGCTAGGTCTATAGAGTGAACCAATCATCTCTGCTTGAAAGTTCAAGATGTATAAAGAGATGTTCCTGACACCACTCCAGGGTATGGGTGAGGGGAAAGGCTTTTATTGTAGATATGAGGGAGGGTAGAGCCAGATGCATCTGAAAGAGCTGAGAGCAGAGAAAGCAGTCCACTGAATATGGTCAGCAGACTGGACTGGGCAGCGAGAGGAGGGTGGGGATCCAGAGAGGAAGACAGTGTGGAGGGAGGGAGGGAGGGAGGGAGGGAGGGAGGGAGGGAGGGAGGGAGGGAGGGAGGGGAGCATAGCCACAACACCAGGGTTATTTAAGAAGAATGAAAAGCTGAGGGAGGGCAGCTCCTGAGTCTGAGAACTGAGAGAGCCGGGAGGCCCAATGTGTATGCTAAGAGGCGTCACAGATAGCCATTTGTCCCTTCTGACGGGGATAAGGAAATGGCTTCTTTGGTAGAGGGAATGGAGCAAGAATTGGGGGAAGTGGAGTTTCCTTTGGAGCTGATGGGGGGCACCAGGAATGAAAAGAAAAAGATTGCCTGGCCCAAGTACCCATCAGCCACTAACGCTAACCTCACTACTTAGGCTAACTGCATTGCAGCTGGAGAAGCTATACTGTTTCACTGTTTCCAAGGTAGACTACTGAAGCTGGGAGCGGTGGCTCACAACTGTAAACCCAATATTCAGGAGGCTGAGACAGGAGGATTACCATGAATCTGAGGAGAGGCTAGGCTAGACCCTGTCTCCCCCGACCCCCCCCCACACGAATTAAGAAACAAAACAAAAAAAAGCCAACCAACTAAACAAACAAAACCAAAACAAAGCAGCCCTGTCCTCTTCCCCTTATTTTATATTTTCCTGAGAATTAAAACTTGGTGCCTGAGAGCAGAACAAAGGAGAATACTAGATGGGTATCCAAAACAAGTCATTTGTCAAGCTGGGATAGAATAATTCATGCCTCTGCCAGGCACACATGAGCTCTGGGTCCTCTCACTCCAGCACACATGAGCTCTGGGTCCTCTCACTCCAGCACACATGAGCTCTGGGTCCTCTCTCTCTAGCACACATGAGCTCTGGGTCCTCTCTCTATCTCCAGCACACATGAGCTCTGGGTCCTCTCTCTATCTCCAGCACTCTATAAATTGGGTACAGTGGCACACACTTATCACCCCAGCACTCTGAGAGGCAGAAGGATCACGAGTTCAAGGCCATCTTCAGCTACACAGTAAGTTTCCGCTGAGTTCAAGGTCAGCCTGGGACCTTGAGACCTTTTCTCAAAAGATAGTCAATCTGTGTGGACCTTGAGACCTTTTCTCAAAAGATAGTCAATCTGTCTTTAGCGCCACTTGAGAAAATCCCAAGGTTTTTACTTGCTGTTATTAGAAAATGACTAAAACCTCTTTGTTAAGCTGCTCTCATCTTGCTATCGATTTAAAAAATGTCTTATAACCTCAAAGAACTTATCTAGAAACAGAAGCATAAAAACATAGGAAGAAGGGGGGATGCAAAGTCCCACACTTACTTATTTGTACTTCCACAGAAGCTACCCATTCCAGCAGAAAAGACTTTACTAATCATCAGCTGTGGAGGAGAACTGAAAAAAACATAAGGGGGAGAAATGTACTTTTTAAACGAAGAGGTCAGCATCAGCATTCCCGATCTCACAGCTAGCACGAGGGCAACCTCACCGTATGTAGTGAATCTTCAGGGTGGAGCCTTTGTAGCTCATCGCAACAGAGCCGAACATCATTTCCCCAAGCATGTTGACATCGGAAGCTGGTCTTGTGTACTGTGCACAAGAAGTAAGACTCAGTTAGAACACAACATGGAAAAATGCAATAGAAAACACCACCTGCTAATCTTTGGGTCTCTGGTTCATCTCACAATCATCACCTACACAGTGATCACCTGCTATAGTTCCCAAATGTTACTATTTTTATTCCTTTCTTATATATAATATGCTCACACAACCAAGTCTATCCATCTCCATTTATAAATTCTAACTATGAAAGAAACAGGTGCTCTCCTCTTTGGGTACATAGTAGATCCTGAAAAAGAAACATGGTTTTAGTGTTATTCGACTGAATAATTACTAGTTGTGGTCACCTGAATGAGAATGTTCCCCCATGAGCTCAGATAGCTGAACACTTGGTCGCCAGTTGGTGTTTGGGTAGGTTTGGGACGTGTGGTCTTGCTAAAAGAAAGTGCTTCACTAGGGGCTGACTTTGAGAGCTAAGACTCCTGCTGCTTTCAGAGTGATTCTGCTTCATGGTTGATGTTCGAGATGTGACCCCAGCTTCCTGCTCCTGCTCCCCGTGTTTGGTCTGCCATCATGGGCTCTGACCCTCTGGAGCCATAAACCCAGACAAACTCCTTCTGTAGGTTGCCTTGGTCATGGCACTTTACCAGGGCCAAGAAAGCTGACCGCCACAGCGGTGTCCACACAGGACTTTGTGAGCACCTGGGAGACAAAGGTGATCTTGTTGCTCTAAAATTTTACAAGGGTATTTCAGAAACACTTCCAGCTTCTACCAGCTTCTCGTGCCTTTTTAACATCCTTTACCTTAAAGACCGAGGTGCTGAGTGCCAGCTTCTGAACACAGAAGCCTGGGTTTGCCTGACTGATCCAGTCTGCTCTGATCACCTCCATGTCCCGCTTCCCTCAAATCCAGTAGACATGTTCTCACCTACTCCACCAACATCTCATTTGACACCACTCCCTTCCTACTCAAATCTATTCCTTCTCAAATCTCTCCTTGAACATACTGCTCCTGACCACACTCCAGCCCATTCCCACCATTCCTTTGCTTCGTTATTTACAAGAAAAACCCCTATGACTTATATCTAGGTCAACACCTCTCCCCTTCAGCTATAAAATGTCTTAGAGCAGTGGTTCCAACCTTCCTAATGCTGTGACCCCTTATTACAGTTCCTCATGTGGTGACACCCAACCACGAAACTATTTTGTTGCTACTTCCTAACCGTAATTTTGCTACTGTTATGAATCAAAATGTAAATACCTGGTATGCAGCATGTCGCTACCCACAGGTTGAGAAACACTGTCTTAGCTACTGCTCATTCATGCTGACTTTCTAAGGACAGGTCAAAGAAAGGTGTGAAACAAACCAGTGTGCTACCATCACACCAGCACAGCCTGGCTGAAGCCCAGCAGCCGGGCTCTGCAAGTGTGCTCTCAGTGCAAAGCAAGCATAAAGGAACCTTCCCCAATATGTGTTCTTGAATCTTTCCAGTATCTGAAACACCAATACACACATCAAAGCACAAACACACACACAGAGACACACTCACTCTCTCTCTCTCTCTCTCTCTCTCTCTCTCTCTCTCTCTCTCTCTCTCTCTCTCTCTCTCTCTCTCTCAGCTTCTACAAAAGAGGAAAGATAAACTTGTCAGTCCCGTTAATGCAGGGTGGATCCGTCTCTGGTTAGAGCTCATATCAACTGCTTTCCATTTCAGACACAGATCAACTGCTTTCTCATATTCTCTCCTAATGGATTGCACTCACCCTCTCTGTTTTATAATTTGCCTTTTCTTGGTACAAAGAGCATGTGCCACCTGGGATTCTCAACTACCTTTTAGCACTGTAAATATGGGCAAATGCACCACACAACTCTTAAAACTCAAGGCTTATTCACCTGTGACTTCTGGTAATCACCATGACCTTGTTTCACCAGGAACAGTAGAGGTAATATTCTGTACAGGTTTTAAAAAATGAGAACATGGAGGGCTGGAGAGATGGCTCAGTGATTAGAAGCATTAGTTGCTCTTCAGGAGGACCTGGGTTCAATTCCCAGCACCCACATGGCAGCTCACAACTTTCTGTCACTCCAGTTCAAGAGGATCTGAAACCCTCATACAGACATGCATGCAAGGAAACCACCAATGCACATAAAATAATAAATAAATTACTAAAATTTTAAAAAATCCACATAGAAAGCTGGTTATTGTGGTACATGCCTATAATCCCAGCTCTAGGGAGACTGAGACAGGAAGACTGGAGATCAGCATGGGTTACGTAATGAGTGACCCATGCCTGCTTGGGCTACTACACAGGGAGAGTGTCTCAGAAATCAAAACAAGCCTGATGTGGCGCATATCTGAAATCCCAGAACTTGGGAGGTGAAGACAGGAGGATCAGACATTCAAGGTCATCCTCGGCTATATATCCAGTTAGAGGCCAGCCTGGACTACTTGAGAGCCTGTCTCAAACAAACAAAACAAGAGACAACAAGCAACAAATTAAAACAAGAGCACCTCCCTCCAGATGCCCATGCCCACACTGGTCATGGCTGTTCTGGAGACAACATGGCTTACTTGGTACTTTGGAAGCTGCTCCTTAGAGTGCTGTGCGGATCCCCGAGAGCTATGGGAAGAGAAACTGCTGCTGCTGCTGCTGCTGCTGCTGCTGCTGCTGACACTCCCGCTTTCTTGACAGCACCTGGCTGACATTTTAACAGGGACATCCTCTGCTTTCTGGGATAAGAAGGGCAGGCAAGGTAGAGAAGGTCATCAAGTGTATCAGGCTTATCAACACTCTGCATCAAGTGGAAATTTGTCAAAAACATTCAGATGCCTGAACTGCGTTAAAAACCAAAAGCTCTGTTTAATTTTCCTTTATAAGACAAAAATATCATTCCTGGGAGTCTGGAATGGAGGGATGTTTGCATAGATAAAGGCATGACAGATAGATTAACTGAGACAGAGAGACAGATGACAGACATGGCTTGCTCTCTTTAAATAGCCTGTAAAGTATTTACATTTAAATTTGTACTATATAGTCATAAACAAACTACTCCCTGTTCTAGTTTTTAAGGGATTTTGGTATTATGTAGTCTTAACGTATGGAACTGATAAGGAGAAAAACGACCACTAACATTAAAATCTTCCCAACTAAATGTTACTGAGAAAAAGAGACCAATAACCTGGGCAGGCGGGCTCGAAAAAGAGACCAATAACCTGGGCAGGCGGGCTCGCGGTTTTCATCCTTCTAGCACTCCTTAAGTGCAGGATAGGAAACCACCAGGACGAAAGTGTGAAAGCCCAAACCCTGAAACAGGAGCCACACGGAGAGCGCGTGATGGGAATGTGGTCTGTAAAGGTCAGAGGTAACAGAGGATGATCTCCTTTATATTCCCTGAAGTATTCACTGCTAATTTTTATGACAGTGACATAAAGGTGTAAAGAGTCCCTCGGGCGGCCACCGGAACTGAACACTCCCTACAGAGCAGCCTTCACGGGGAATGACTTCTGCCGAGTCCCCTTTGCCTCACTTCTTATCATGCAGCATTTGCTTGGGAACCCTGAACGCCACGGCAGTGTCCGGTGTGACAGTCACGCTGTGCATTATCTAATGACACGCCTCCAGTCATGCGCTGATTCAAACCCACGGTGTTTGGGCTTATCCAGGGGTGAGGCTGAGGAGGGGTTGGACTGGAATGTAAAGGAAGCCCACAGCGTGCTGGTCCACAGCAGGCACGCCAGCAATGATGGGATCTCAGGTTTACGGGGTTGGCCCTGAGCACCCCGCATCCATTCTCTCAAGACACTCTTCGGGTGAGTGGGTTACCAACTGGTCTTGCCTGCAGGCTTTAAAGCCACAAACATGTTTCTGAGCCCAAGCTGATTTTTTTTTAACTTCTAAGAAAGCGATGTCAGAGATTATCAGAGATTATACCTGCTCAGGTATAACAACAACTCCAGCTCCCCCCAACCCCAATCATTTTCCCTCTAACTTTGCTACCATCAGCAGCTGGGTTATCTGTGAGAAGCACTTGGGTAGAGCCCTCTCCTGCCCAGCAAGCAAAGGATCTAGCGCTGCCTCACCTAAGCTCCTGGTCCCGATCTGGCATTAAAGCTTACGTGAATCATCTGAGAGATTTCTCAGCTTTCTCCTCCACCCACCTAACAAGCCCAGCCACTGGTGTAATGATTAGCTGTCAGGCAGAATTCCTCCATAAGTGCTGCCTTATCCACCCGGCTCAACTGCCTTCAACCAAACATTTCCTTCCTGCGAACGATTCTTATCAAAAGCTGGAAAGCCAGAGCCAGCGAGATGGCTCAGTAGGTAAAAGTACTTATCCCACAAGTGTTGTGACTACGTTTGATCCCCAGAAGCCATGGAAAGGTGGGAGAAGACGCCAGCGCCACGGAGCTGTCCTCTGCCTCCCACACACAGCTAGTAACCCCCACAAAACCCATTTCTAAGAAATAAAGCTGGAAAATGCTCGCGGGCCCCGTGAGACAAAGGCCGTGCTATCTATAACCGTTGGTTTACTTAACTCTGGTCTGTAGACTACAGAATCTGGCCAGTATGGGAAGCAAGTAATTAAACAAGAACAGAGTAAATACCATTGGATTTATTTCATCTGTAAGCATCGGAACAAAGACTGAACTGAATGGTCTAGCCATGAGAAAGATTAGAGGTATCCTGGCTGAGATCCAAAGAGACCAGGGAGGGTAAGGTTCTTCTCAAATTGTTATCTTTCCTGGTCTGGATCAAACAGGTCAAGCTTTTTCCTGTCTTCACTGGCCATCCCAAGTCCCTCTCCCACCATCCTCCTTCCTGCGACAGGGAAAGGTTCCTTGGTCAGAAGACGTAAGATTACAATGTACTTTCATATATTAAGGCCCTACAATGGGAGGCCTTTAGCTTAGCCCAGGATAGCCCCAAAGCACCTATCTGGGGCCGGGTTACAGGCCTGAGGCACACTTGGCACCTTCCTCTCTGAGAAATCAGGACAGAATGATCTTCTCTTCTGGTAAATACTCCAGCACTTCATGAATCTCAGCAATGTATGTTCTTACTATGCTCGCTGCTTACAAAATCCTACCAGATCACAATCACCGGGAAATGCATCTCTCTTGATGACAACGGCCCACGGCTGGCCTACGATCCTTGCTTGTGAAGTCTCGCCCATGCTCACAGGCACACGCCTGCCTGTGGGGGTGCAGGCCTGGCTTGTTCTGAATCCTGGCCGGCAGTGTGCGCCACCGCTCAGACTGATCAAAGAGGGTCGAAAGCCTATCAGCATTTCATACCTGAGCTGCCGCCTCTTCCGCCTTCTGAACGGCTCTGGAATCGAACATGACTTGTCTGCCTCTCCTCTCACAGTCCTGGTACACGATCAGGCGGATGTCACTCAGGTCAAACTCCGAGCATGACCAACTGTGGATTCAAAAGAGGGAGAAGCCACATTATCTTCAACGCTTGGTGCCACCACAGGCAGACGCAGTTTCCAGCCAGTGTGCCTGTGGGCCAGTCAGAAAGTGGCTGCGCGAATACTACCAAGTCTCACGCTGAAGCTGGTAAGACTGGTGCAGCGGTAAATCACTGGAGAGAAAGAACGGCCTTCCAGAGCCGGTTTGGGCACGAATGCAGGGACACAGAACCTGCTGTTGGATGCCTGGGTTCTGGGGAAAGCACACGGGAGTTAAGGGAGTGCTTGTGCTTCTGCGGCGTCAGGAAGGGAAAGCCAGCCACGTCCCCTTAGGTGAACCTGACAGCAGCTACATAGTCTAAGGTTATGTGTTTCCTAGTACGTCTGGCTTCTCACAGAGGCTCTGAAAACAAAGCAGTGAGGGGAACACAGTTTGCTCCTACGCAAAAGACACTAAGAAGAAAACGCAAGGTTGTGCAGCAGTAACAAATTCTATCAGAAAGCGGGAGGTACAGAAAGGAACAGTTTACAGTGCGTGCCTTCGGCACATGGTTAGCAATCCATTCAACACTTAGTCTGTACTGTATTCGAGGCTCTGCAGTAGGTACCAGGGAATCAATAATTAATCAAATGACTGAGTCTCTGTCCTCATGAAGTTCAAGGCTCAGTGGGGGGTGTTATTAACCCAATAGTTACACATAAATATGTAACTACACACTGTCTGAAGTTCAAAAGAGAAAACTAAAGGATACAAGAGTCTCAGAGCCCGGCATACGTCTCAGGCTCACATCTATTGGCTCAGCACGGGTGAGGGGCAGAGCTGCTGGGGACAGAGACCAGCCTGGTGACAATGCAAGACCTGTCTCAAAAGGGCGAGATTTCAGGAGTGACAGAGGACGACATTCAGATGCAGGCCTGAAGAAACAACAGTTAACATGAATACCGCACAACAACAGAGTGTAGCACAGGAAAGGGGGCGAGGAAAACCAGAGAGCTGCCCGCCCCACTCCTCACCCCCACCGGGGAAACTGAGGCAGGCCCAGGCAGCCGAGGAAGGCGGATGGTGGATAAGAGCTCAGATAGCTGACTGCCCTGAGAAAATCCGGAGGTGGAGAGGGCGGCACAGGGAGCCGGGAAGCTTACATCGCCTGCTGCAGGCCGCAGTGAGCAGCAGCGGAGGCAGGGAAGAGACAGATTAAAGCAGAGTGTAGATGTGCCCGAGGCAGAAGGAGTGCCAACTGCTCAGGCAGACTCTGCTATGGGACATGGGGAGGACAGGGTGGGTGACAACCCGACAGGGGAATAAAGGAGGGACAAGTGGACAATGTTAAAGTAGCAGGCTGTGAACGCATGGCCAGGCACAGCTGGATTCAAACCCGAAGCTTCTGCCCCTCCATTTTGAGTACTCGATGTGTAATCGCTGACTTCACAAACCTGCTGCGTGGGTTACAGAAAATACGTAAGGGCTTCATACAAGCCTGGCACACATACGTGCTCCGACGTGCTAAGCATCGTCTCCTGGGGGTGAGGAGGCTACCGTCTTGTGAGGGGCTACCGACTTGTGAGGGGCTGTGTGCCTTGTGGTCCTTCCCTGTTTCAGGCAATGGCAGTCAATGCCAAGCATGTTCTCTGGGGGTGAGGAGGCTACAGTCTTGTGAGGGGCCTTGTGGTCCTTCCCTGTTTTGGGCAATGGCAGTCAATGCCCAGCATGTTCTCTGGGGGAAGCCATTTGTTCTCTTAAAACCCAACTGCAGAAAAATAGAAAGCTCTGGCCGTCCCTTCTTTCACCAACATGTTTCCTAAATTGTGCCCGTCTGACGTGGAGCACTGCGGTAAATTTACTTTGGAAACCATTTTCCTCTGCCCTCAGTCCAGAGGTGGCCCACGTTCAAGGTCTGGCCAATGGGTCTTGCCACATGGCCCCAGGCTGCCAAGTGGCAGCCGTCCCAACACTTACAGCCCAGCCTGTACGTCATGGCTACTCACCCCTGGTGGCGAGCGCCTGCTTGGTGCAGTTACTGTGAGAAAAGAAAGCAGAAGAGCAAAGACGAGAGACGGAGTCCTGCTGTCACTCAGCTGTCCTTGTGTGTGCACTACTCCTGGAGATTTCTGTCAAAACCAGAGGTCTGGTGACGACGACCCAAACTGCCAAATTTTTAATATATTAAGGTTATTAAAACTCTCTCTGGCTAAGTGTGGTAACGCATGCCTTTGGTCCCAAAACAGAGGCAGGTACATCTCTGTGAGTTCCAGGCTATCCTACATAGTGAGCTCCATGACACCCAGAACTATATAACAGAGAGACCTGTCTAACAAAACAAACAAACAAAATCCAAACACAAAACCACCCCCTGAAATGTGCTAGAGAACACGGGGCTGGGCTGTAACTCAGCAGGAAGGTGCTTGCTTAGCATTTGCAAAAGCCCTGGGCTCCATCCCGGAACCATAAAACAAATAGTCCTTGGGGTGAAGGTATTACAAGTGCGGAAAAACAAAGGCAACGAAGCCTGAGTCACCACAAGGTATGGTAGCATGTATCTTTAATCCCAGCACTCAGGAGGCAGAGGCAGGCAGATGTTTGTGAATTCAAGGTCAGCCTGGTCTACATAGCACACTCCAGACTAGCCAGGGTTACAAAAAGTGAGACCCCGTCTTGAGAGAGAGAGAGAGAGAGAGAGAGAGAGAGAGAGAGAGAGAGAGAGAGAGAGAGAGAGAGAGAGAGAGAGAGAGAATAGTATCTTGTACAATTCCCATTGCTCATTATATTAAACTCTGCCAAGGTGGCCAAGTTTACAGAGCCATTCTTGAGGACTATCAGTTAGACTTAAGATAATATCTCTAGAAATCAGATTCAATACATCATAACATTTTATTAGATTCATATTCTTTTTCAATTAGATAGGAACTAGCTGGTCAGTGGGTGGCGCAGGCCTTTAATCCCAGCACTCAGGAGGCAGAGGCAGGTGGATCTCTGTGAGTTCGAGGCCAGCCTGGTCTATAGAGAGAGTTCCAGGACAGCCAGGGCAACACAGAGAAACCCTGTCTTGAAAAAACAAAAACAAAAAGGCAGGGGCTTGCTGTGGTGATATTTAACTATAACCCCAGCACTTTAAAGGCACTGCAAATTTGAGGTCAGTCTAGGCTCTACAGTGATTTCCAGGTCTGTTTGGACTGCAGAGTGAGACTCTGTCTTTAAAAAAAAAAAGAAGAAGAAGAAGAAGAAGACAGGAGTGTGTGTTTATATCTATAAATACTATTTGATATCCAATTAGCATTTTGGCGTTTGCCATCTGGAATATTCCTAGAGGAAACTATCATCAAGTATGGCAATGGGATGCTTCGGATTGAGACAGGCCTGAGGCCAGACCTCCAGCTCTGCCTGTTTTGTCGCCTCAGGAAGAGAGAATCTACAAAAAGAGACAATCCGCTCCCTTAAGTTTGCTGTGCCCTGTGCTCGTGTGTCATAACATGTACATAAACATGTGAGCACTGTGTCCTCTGCTCGTGTGTCATAACATGTACATAAACATGTGAGCACTGTGTCCTCTGCTCGTGTGTCATAACATGTACATAAACATGTGAGCACTGTGTCCTCTACTCATGTGTCATAAATGTACATAAACATGTGAGCACTGTGTCCTCTGCTCGTGTGTCATAACATGTACATAAACATGTGAGCACTGTGTCCTCTGCTCGTGTGTCATAACATGTACATAAACATGTGAGCACTGTGTCCTCTACTCATGTGTCATAAATGTACATAAACGTGAGCACTGTGCCCTCTGCCCTCTACTCCTGTGTCATAACATGTACATAAACATGTGAGCACTGTGCCCTCTGCCCTCTACTCCTGTGTCATAACATGTACATAAACATGTGAGCACTGTACACAAGTTCAGAAGGTTTCCTGGTGCTGCTTGTCTAGTTAGAACACCTTATTTCTCCACACCAAGAGTACAAAGCAAGTAACCAAAGCATGAGTTAGTCCCTGAAAGGCAGCACTGGGGACAGTGCACAGGATATGCAGTCCGGAGCACGCATCTCTTTGAAGTGTGTGTGTTATAACCCTGCACTGGAGAGGCCGAAGCAGGAAGACTCAAGGTCGCCTGCACCGCAGAACGAGACCCTGTCTCAAAAGTAAGTAAAAAACAAAAACTACACCAAAGAGTAAGAGCTACATCATACATTGTAACAAATCTACGCCTAGAGCCGTGCCCCCTCCCCCCAATCAAGTTAGACTGCGGTCCTAACTCCTGCAAGCATGAGTCAGACCTTGTTTAGAAATATGGTCTTTGATGATGTACAAGTTAGGGTGCGACCATGCTGAATTAGAATGGGTATCAGTCTCATGACTGAGGTCCTCCTAAGAATGAGATTTGCACACAGGGAATGATCCATGGGAACCTCCTTCAGACGGCAAAAATGACAAAAGGACAAATGGTGCCCCAACAAACTCTTGGTGCCGGAGTCAAGCACCAGTCAGTCAGTATGGCCGGGTTTCATGTGCGTGGACTTCAAACACTCTGCCAAGGAGTGTTCATTTCGCTTTCTAAGTGGCGATGTGCTAACTCCACGTCTGCAAGAGGGATGACACACTCTTAGGGAGAGGTCTGACATAGGCAGAGAAGGGCATTCTCAGGGCAGAGGCAGCACCGTCTAGGGTCTGTGGTTTCTAGGAGGAACACCTTCAAGGAACAGAATGGCCAGTATGCACTTTGTGGCACATAATCTGCTACCCTCTCCCACTGCCGAGACCAGTTCAATACCTGGTGTTTATGCCTCCCTTAAACTGTTACAATAATGAGATGAGCGGTAGTGTATGCCCAGGTCATATTGCTTCTCCTATTGGTCTCACACAAGGAAGCAATAATATACAGTCACAGTAAGCACGTGGATAATTTAAAGGCAGTCTTGTGATCCAACAATGTCAATATTTAAAGAGTCAGATATGATAGGGACATTTAAATGATCCAAGAAAATGTTAAATAAAGAAAAATGAGCACAGATG